AGCAATTTAAGGCAATTCATAGACCATACTACTAGATAGACAGAAGAAGCAGAAAAAAATCATTCTATGGGTCAATAGCTAAATGTTGTTCATTATTGTGGTAAACAACAGTTAAAGGGTCACGAAACACCAAAACACATTTTTTGAGCTGTTGACAGTCGTATATGTGTCCCACACTGCTAAAAACACTATTAGGACACATATATCTCACTAAAAAGTGTAAATTAGTTGTTTTTGCGTTATTTCGAGCAAATTTGTACTTCCGGTTTGAAACTAATTTTTGAAGCTGCGTCACGGCCATGAAATCTTAGTGTGTATTCCAGCGTGTAGACTGGACGTCTCTACCTGAGAGTGCCTTATTAGGTCTCCGAGTGTGCTGCATTAATGCATGAGTAAGGCTTGGTTTAAACCAATCAGTGCGCTCTATTGTGCAACTTCATTAATATTCATTACTGTCACAGTGTTTAGATGACAGAGACACCACGCTGTGTTGGCAAAACAAGCGTGAAGTATTGCTTTTATAGTTTGCTGCAGTTAAGTTTTGTTTTAATTTTCTCGCTGTGAGAGTGCAGCTGGAGTCACGCGTGGATTACAGTGTACGCGACGCTCGACAACAATAACTTACGTGTCTAAGGAGGAACATTGTTTACCTGAGAGCTGTTCTCATCTGCAAACGCTGAGATCCGGATTCGCTTGTAGTCTTCTCTTAATAAAGACGCGGCTCTAGTTGCTGGTGATTGTCCTGACTCTACAGATTTGGTAAGTGAGCAACCAGTGCTCTTTGTTTATTCAGTTTGTTCATATCGAACTACTACATTGAGTGTAAACATGTTAGCACCACAACCAAACTTTAACATCGTGTAGGATTTTCACCGCATTTTGTGACCGGAATAACACACGCGGCTTTCTGACACTACCTGCCGTGTGCATCTAAGTTTCCGGGAAATGCTGAGGGTTTTTTCCTCTCATTCGCTGTGCGGTATCAAACATTGCATGAAAAATACACGCTTAGAGCAGTTCCTCGAATCAAATATCTCAATTGTCGCGAGGGGCATGAATCAATTCCCTGAATGAAAGAGCCAAACTGCAGTTAAAGTCCACCATTTAATAATTTGGCAAATAATTCGGCTACAGATATCCATGTAAACACAGTCACTTTCTCCCGTGTGTGTGTGTGTGTTTTGACTCTGAAACTCAGCACATGCCCAAATAGACACTCCCACACTATCCCTTTTTTGTTCCTCCGACTCTCCCCCTAAACAGAGCTGGACACGCCCACTTTTCTGACTTTTTCCAAAGTAGAGGTGTAAAAACACCCGGCTAAAACAGGGGGTTTCATGGCCCTTTATAGCAAACCTAGGGCATTCATTGGAAAATTTGTTCGTCAGTGCTTTCAAGTGCTTCATAAATGAAACCAATGCAGTAGTTTGACTGTGTTTTGTTTTTCTTTGTATATTTTCCTTTATTTAATAAAAGCTATACAATCTGAGAGGATAAAGAAAAGAACCTTAAGTGCCGACCATAGACTGTAAAAGATATGGACATAGTATCCGTGATTCACCCATAGGTTTCTGAAGAGCCCAAATGAAGCTACAAGTAGGCGTGGCCAACCGTCACCACTTAATTGCACTGACTGGGGGATATCAAACAAGGGCAATGAAGCGTAGCGTGTGCGGAGCTACAGATGCTTGCTAGCATTTTGCTTAGACTGGCTTTTCTTTTCTTAATACTACATTACCTGCATTGTTCTTATAGCGTTTTTCTACAGGAGGAAAGTGTGAATGACTTCCAAACACTTAAAATATGGTCTGTGTTAGTAAATGCAAGACTATTTATGAAATCCAGGCATAACACTGTATGAAAACGTTTCAGATGATTTTTCTAGAGCTTACAGCTAATCAATCTTTCAGATTCTGAAGTGCATTACAGTTCTAAAGAAAAAGAAAAATTATCTTAAATAAAACAAATCACTCAAGTGGCCATGCCCTTAATTATGTAGACTTAATATAACTTAATATAAACTAAACGCATGAGTTCTAAAATAAATTCACCCCTGACAGATGTCATGGAAAGTATGAACCAAAATCATTCTTTGTATCAGGCTATATTCACAGGAGCGAGTATGCCTGACAATTGAGCCTTACAACATAAACTGCTCAGCTAATGTTTACATTTGTAATATTTATATTATTTGCTAATTAAAAAACACTTCATGTGCATTTTTATAAATAAGAAACTCATCCACTTATTTTGGATGCTGCTACTGTCCTCCAGAGGACACATTTTTTTTAGGCGTGCCCACATATACTAGGGCAGCCTTCATGACCAAAATGAAGTATGCTGTGTTTGGTACCAAAGCAACCTGGGTGCTAAAATATATTCAGTTAAACTGGCAATGGGCAGATTTACATTAAGTGGCAAACTCCCGCTCTCCCTCAGGAATCCAATATGGAAGTAACTAAAACTGCAATTTATCGACTCGCCTTTGGGGGCTGGCTCCAGGAAAGCCAGATGTTTTCTGACTGCAATGGTAAATTGGCCAGCTGATAAAAACATGTTTACAGCCATCAGAAGGTGGGCACACTGTGGTCATAAAGAGATGGACTTGGTCAGCAGCAATACTCGGGTAGGCTGTGGCATTGACACAATGCTCAATTGGTACTAATGGGCCCAAAGTGAGCCAAGAAAATATCCACACACCATTACACCATCACCACCAGCCTAAACCATTGATACAAGGCAAAATGAGTCCATGATTTTGTTGTTGACACTAAATTATGACCCTACCATTCGAATGTCGCAGCAGAAATTGAGACTCATCAGACCAGGCAACGTTTTTTCAATCTTCTATTGTTCAATTTTGGTAAGCCTGTGTGAATTGTAGCCTCAGTTTCCTGTTCTTAGCTGACAGAAGTGGCACCTGGTGTGGTCTTCTGCTGCTGTAGCCCATCCGCCTCAAAGTTCAGAGTGTTGGAACCAGCTGGAACCAGTCTGGCCATTCTCCTCTAACCTTTGGCATCAACAAGACATTTGCGCCCACAGAACGACCGCTTACTGGATATTTTCTCTTTTTCAGACCATTCTCTGTAAACCCTAAGATGGTTGTACGTAAAAATCTCAGTAAATTAGCAGCTTCTGAAACACTCCAACAACCATGCCACGTTCAAAGTCACTTAAATAATTTGTCTCCCCCATTCTAATGCTCGGTTTGAACTACAGCAAATCGTCTTGACCATGTCTACATGCCTAAATGGATTGAGTTGCTGCCATGTGTTTCTTGTATAAACAAGCAGGTGGACAGATGTACCTAATAAAGTGGCAGTTAAGTGTATATCATAAAACCCAGAAGGCAATGAATAAATACTTATTATGTGTATATGTGCAAAGAAAAAAAAACTAAGTAGGTGGCTCATTGGTCTGCCACCCGTCACCAAACTAAGATATCAAGCTACACCTGTGCACAGCTGAAATCATGAACAAAGTTTTTGGCAAAGCTTCTGACAGTTCCCGAAGAAAAAAAAAGCTTCCACTTACATCAGTCTTCTCCATTTGTTTGACCTTGCCTGCAATTGTAAGTTCATTAGCTTTCCCATCACAAAGTTAGGCTCAGGGCAGCGAGACATATAATAAGAAAAGCTTTGATGTTCCCATCATTTGGTCCAGAACGCCTCTGGGAGGACATAGATTTCCTGTGACAGAAGCTCGGGCGTTTTTCCAGCATGAGTTCTCATGGGAAGGGTTCGAGACATAGATGGCATGGATTTCACTGAAGATAGCGAGCACTGCCTGTCTGTGTTTCTCAGCTTCATAAGTGGATCCTCTGAGAATACTTCACAGGTGACATATGAGAAGGAAACACTTCCTCAGAGCTTCAAAGCGAACACGCTCAGTCAAAGATAAAACTTAATGAGCAGCTCACAGATGCTCATGTTTCATTGATGCTGTTTGATTTTTCTTTCACAGGCACTTCTGAGATCTACTAATTGACAAGTTCCTTATTTTCCCATCATCAGGGCCACTTAACGACAACTAAATGGATTCATTGTAAATCTGCACTGAAGAGAACTATGGACACTTTCTTCACTTCAGAGAGAACTGATTGACCAATAAGAGTACAGCTTTGGCTTACTGTTGTTAAGTGGTTTCTGATACCTAATCAAGGATCAGTTTTAGGCCCCATTTACACTAATGCGTTTTGGTTTGAAAACGCATAAGTTTTGCTACGGTTACGCCATCCGTCCACACTACGCCAGAGTTTTTGAGCGCCGAAAATTGAGCATTTTGAAAACGCTGGAGAGGCCATTTTCATTCTAAAACGCTGCTGCTCTGTCTGAGTGTGGATGGGGGAAAACAGAGACATCTGAAAACAGAGGCAGGGCTGCTGAGATTCGCTACCTGATTGGGGCTTTTGTGTCATTGCGTATCCTTCCCTTATTCGTCAAGCCCCTTTTATATGAATATAACACAACGCTGTAACGCTACAGCAGACCAGCCTTCACTGTAAACAACAACATGAACACAGAAATGGGAGCGTTGTTTGCACTATTGTCTGTTTAAGGCGCCATTGTGCAGTTATTCATTTGTTACGTTGAGTAACAACTCGACCTTGACGTCTGTCCACAAAAATACCTCTCTTGCTTTCTTTGCCATCGCGTTCATTGTTTAACCGGCGTTTGTTGACTAACGATAACCAAATGCCAAGCGAGACACATGCTTCCTGTTTATACTAGAACGCGCAAGCCCAGAGTGCGCGAATGGTCACGTGATATACGTTTTTGGTAGCGTAGTGTGGACGGAGATATGTTCAGAAATGCTAGGTGAAACGCTAGTGTGGAAGTGCATCGTTTTTTATCTAAAACGTTGTTTTAAAACTAAAACGCACTAGTGTAAACGGGGCCTATGTCTCTCAGCTGGCCTGGAAGCACCTCATGATCCTCCTGGAGGAGATGAAGGAAGTGTCTGTGGAAATGTCCCTGCCACCCAGTCCCAGAAAAGCGTATGAAAATGAATGAATGAATGAATGAATGAATGAATGAATGAATGAATGAATGAATGAATGAAATTTTAGCAATTTCATTAGCAATCAGCACGATCAGAGGAATCAAAAGAAAAATCGAAAGCACTACTTACAGACAGACAATAAATGAAATAAAAATATCAAATAAAGAATGAAAAAGGTTCAGCCTGAATTTCAGCTGTCTCCAACGTAAGAGTAGGTTAGAGATAAGGCAAAGTTTGCATTTCCAGGATTATAAAAGTCCAAGACAATGTTGTGTAGCAGTCAATTTCCATTGCTATCATTTACTACCACATACGCTTCCCTGCTTCTCTGTCTCTTGTGCTGACAGAGGTATTGACACAATGTTGACTATTTTGATTATTAATCCACATGTGATGGAGAGAATCAGCATGTCTGAATCCAGTATCCCTGATGATTGAGGCTGGGTTTAGTGTTACACAGTGAAGGAGAAAACAAAAAGTAATTAAATTTGACAGAGCCATTTCACAGTAGGCAGGAAGCCAAACATTCTAGGATGATACATTTACCAGCAGAGTCATCTTCACATTGCACCCTGAAGCTGTTTTTCGAAAAACAGAGAGCTGTGAATACGATATTATTCCTTGCATAATAAGTGGAAGCACAGAGGCATGAATAAGTGGCTTGTCGATCTCTTGTTTAGTCAATTTTATGGTATATCAAAGACAAAATATTTATATGTACCACCAGATTTTAAAACTAAATACATTTTAAATGCAATTTTAAATTTTTATTAACTTTTAAATATAGTTTCAAAATAAAAAATATAGTTTCAAAATAATTTATATATGAGTGCATATGGATGAGATACTTTTATACCTTTAATTAGGTATAAATTATATATACAATGAAAAAAATATGCTTGTGATCCTACACAAGACCACCAGAAAGAATACATTTCTAATTCCTCCACAGCATTTTGCACACACAGCTGTGATCATCTTAATGACTTGAATAATGAATGAACTATAGTGATATCATGTTTTATTTATATAATGCCTTAAACAGAAGATGGTAAATGCAGTAAAAGCAGCTCATGACTTAATTTACCGTCAACATTAAAGACATACAGAGAGTATTTTTTAAGAAGTCCCACCACTGCAGCATCAGGGCATGAAAAAAACACTTCCCATATCCCAACCTGAGTGTCGCATTCTGCTAAATGCTGTGTGTTGTACAAATAATGTTGGAATACCTAATTATTATAGAAGTCTGAGCTTATGTGTGCTTTGATCAGATTGATTGCAGTGAGAAAGCGAAACGATCCAAGCACGGTTAATATAACACTGTTTTATGGATATGTATTAGTCATACGGATCTATGAAAAGAGAATTATGAGTAGGGCGGGAAGTTTCGCGAGTCTCCCGGATGCCCGCAAACGAGTGATAATCTCCCGGTAATCTCGCGTCTCCCTCCCGGTCCTCAAATAGCTTACGTCGCGCACCCTTCTCATCCGTCCCCACCGCATCTCTCCTCACTCTTCAGACACATCGCGCGCACCTTGTCAAACACCACCAAACCACCACCTCTCCTGACAGCTGAGCGGGACTCTGCAAAAACTCTGACACTGACCAATGTGAGGAGAGTTTACTCACACGTGACTTGTTTTAGCTCCTTTGGTCTGATTATAAAACTTTGCCCTGTGAAAGTGAACCGCTCCAAGAGCAAAGAACAACAATGTTACAATTGTAATTTCTGTTTCGGAACAACTGAATCAATTTACAGGTGTGAAAGCACCCTGAGATTGAACTGTTTGGCCACAATGACCAGTGTTCCATTTGGAGGATAAAGGGGAAAGCTTATAAGCCGAGGAACACCATCCCAATTGTGAAGTATGGGGGCGGCAGCATCATGTTGTGGGGCTGTTTTGCTGCAGGAGGGACTGGTCCACATCACAGCATAGATGGCATCATGAAGAAAGAATATGTATGTACAAATACTGAAGCAACATCTCAAGACATCGGCCAGGAAATTAAAACTTGGCCACAAATGGGTCTTCCAAACAGACCATGACCCTAAGCATACTGCCAAATTTGTTAAAATGTGCTTTAAGGACAACAGAGTTAATGTTTTGGAGTGGCCATCACAAAGCCCTGTCTTAATCCTATAGAAAATTTGTGGGCAGAGTTGAAAAAGCTTGTGCGAGCAAGACAGCCAACAAATCTGACTCAGTTACAGTAATTTTGTCAGGAGGAATGGGCCAAAATTCCTTCGAACTATTGTGAGAGGCTTGTGGAAGGATACCTAAAACATTTGACCAAAGTTATACAGTTTAAAAGCCAAGCTAAAAAAATACCAAGGAAACGTATGTAAACTTTTGACTGTTTAGAAATAAATACAAAATTCTCAAAAAAAAATTCTCTCATTATTCTGGCATTAAGCAAATGTGAATGATTTAGGTAATCCTAACGGACCTAAAATAGTAAACATTTAGTATAATTTAACACCAAACACTTTTTAAAAATTGGTTATGTTCCTTTTTTTAGAGTGTATGTGAACTTCCGATTTCAACTGTATATATATATATATATATATATATAAAAAACAATATGTTTTAAAATGAAACATTCAACATTCATTAATTTTTCCTTTGGCTTAGTCCCTTATTTACCAGGGGTCACCACAGTGGAATGAACTGCCAACTGTTCCAGTATGTTTTACGCAACGGATGCCCTTCCAGCTGCAACCCAGTACTGGAAAAAATGTTTTACATGTTAACATATATTAAAGAATGATTTTAAGTTACTAAGACATAGGGTAATAAAAATATAATAACAAAATTAAAATAATAATTAAAATGAGCAATGAAATAATGCCTGAAGCAGAAAAAAAATATTATATAGGCAACATAATGCTTGTGGATTTTCTAGAAGTTGGATTTTTCCCTACTTGCTCAACCAAAATCTTCATTAGCCTAACAGCAAAAAACTAAAAAATAAATAAAGCCATTTAAAATAGGTATTACTTTAAATAGTTTTCCAAGTTTAATGATGCAGAAAAAGACCAATCAAATATAAAAAAGCACTGCATAGTCTTCCCTGTATAAATGAGGAATAATACTTGTTAAAGCTACAAAAGGTGGTGCAATGAAAAGTAGAAGATGATTATCACTTATTATTTTGATGTTTGATTAAAATAGCTGAAACAGACAGCTGCCGGTTTATTAAATGCAGTGCAAAGATCCAATATACTGGTATACATGCATTTTCTTTCTCAGCCGTTTACCTTTTATTTCAAGGGTGAGCTCACCCAAAAAGGAAAATTATATTGTTACTTACTTACATTGTTTTAATGTTTTTATGTGCTTTGCTATTTTGTATCTTTTTGTATCATTTTGTATATTTTATGCACAAGATTTTTTTTCAGCACATTTCTAAACACAATAGTTTTAATAACTCATTTCTGATAACTGATTTATTTTATCTTTGCTATGATGATCTTTTAATTTAATAGTAAATAATCTTTTACTAAATATTTTTCAAGACACTTCTATACAGCTTAAAGTGACATTTAAAGGCCTAACTGGGTTTATTAGGCTAACTAGGCAGGTTAGAGTAATTAGGAAAGTTATTTTATAAAAAAAAAAAATAGTTTAAAGGGGCTAAAAAATTCTGTCCGTAAAATGTTTTCAAAAAAAAAAATAACTTCATAAATAATAATAATTTTCAGCAGAAAAAAAAAAAAAAATTTGTGAAAATTTCCTTGCTCTGTTAAACATCATTTGGGAAATATTTAAAAAAGAAGAAAAAAATTACAAGGGGGCCTAATAATTCTGACTTAAACTGTATATTTGCTTGCATTAGCTTTGCTCAGTGTAAACATTATGAGAATATAGTTCAACCCATACATGTTTAAGTTTTAAAAATGAATGAGTCTTCAGGGGAGGAAATCTACACTGAGGCATTATGATACAAAAACACAACTCACTCTCCACAAACGAGTCCATTATGTATCATAATCCACCTTGTGAAATCAATAATTAAGCTAAATCACAATAAAAAATAGTCCTTTTTTAGAAATCTGTTCAATCAGGGAGAGGGATCGTCATTTTTTCATCCATTAATATAAAATGACTGATGTTGTTTTTGCAATCTACCACCAAATTAATCAAATATCCACAGCTAGTTAATGTTAGCATTGCTTTTATTATGAAGCATATCACATGAACAAAACAAAAATTCTATTACCACCAAGAATTACCTTATAAACAGAGCACATGTCACTGAGGTAATAAAGTAATGATGTGTGTCTCTAAAGTGCTTGAATACGTTATACTGAATCAATGACATAATGCTGTGTCAGTTCCTGTCCTGAGCTGCATGATAAACAGAGAGACCTATTGGGATCTAGCGACCCCTGACGCACTGATGCTGCTGTGATCATCAAGCCTTATATCAGTACCGGCCCACAGCAAAAGACAGCCGCGGCTCTGGGCATGTGGCCAAAAGCAAGAATCTAACTGGTTGGCTAGTTTCTTAGCAGTGCAATGGAATAGAGGTTAAAGCAGCTCTCTTGTATCTATAAGCATTCAACGCACAAACCCTGTGCAATCTGGGTCTACGACAGGCTCACAGCCCACATGACGAGTGCTGCTGGACGAAGTGAGAGACGCAGTTGGATCAGGTCCATTTTCAGCAGTACTCAATACTGTTTGCCTCAACATGGAATTTTAAGTTTGCAGGAATGCATGTCTATAAAGCTAGGCATTAAGGGTCAAATTTACTACATCTTGCACCATCTTTTGAAGTATAAATCAGCACTGGGATACAGTTATTTTGGAGATTGCCTCCCTGCATATGCAATTACAGGAGTTATCCAGACACAAAATGTATGGGAGGTAGTCAGTTTACTGGTATCTGTGGCATTATTTATTGCTTCTAAGCCTAAAAGGATGTCTTAACCCATTTTGAGGCTCTGTTTTTAGTAGATTACATGTTTCTGACTATCATCAGCTATGCTTAATTACACCCTAATTTGCCCTGGTTTATTTTTTTTAAGCTTTGTGCTTCTGCAAGTTGTCAGTTAAACATTCTGTTTCCATCAGCACTTTTATCCTACAGCATTATTGCACTAATTTGCTCTGTTTAGTCTATCTGGCATTAAATCCATTCACAGGGAATGTGTTTGATGCATTTTGTTGGGTTATTTCCTGATTTCCTGTTTTCTCAAGCAAAGATGCATTTGCACCTTTTGCACATCCTTCAGTTTAATGTAGCTGTCAAAATGTCATTTTAAACATTCCTGGTCAACAGAATTATAGAATTGGACTGATTCTATTAGGTTTAACCAGTTAAACTCTTCTGCTATTTTGGGATTTCCGCCTGGATTTTGCCTACCCAAATTTAAAAACATCCCAAATTCACATGCAGAGGTGTAAATGCAAAAATTTGGTATCCTTTTATAGAAAACCCTTTGAATTTTCATAAAACACTATTGAAAGTGTTTAAAATATCTGTATATGTTGTCTGTGTTATAACAAACACCTAAAAAAAAGAGGCGCTTTTTGTATTTTTTTATAAACTCAAATTTGAAAGTAAACTTTTAAGGTTCTTTGTGGTCAAGTGTGCTGTAATTAATTTTGGTGGTTTGGTGGTTTGGTGGTTTTTCTGTCAATTTTTATTTATTTTCAAGTCCAAAGAGAGAAGTGGACTATTGTTTGTTTTTTATTAATATGTTGTGCTGTATTTGATTACTGAGCAGAAATAAACAACACTTTAAAATATAAGCAATTTTCTCGTGATCTTCTAAATTAGTCGTGTTTTGAATTTAATAAATGCTTAATAATCGCGATAACCGTGAAACCATGATTATTCTTCAGACTATAATTGTACAACCAAAATCTATAATCGTTGCATCCCTAATTGTTATGCAGTTCAAAACATAGCATACAAATGTGTTTGAATTAAGAAGCCTACATACTTGAGCAATACACTGATTTTTTTTGTGCTTCGAAGTAAAACATTTGAATATATCTGTTAAAAAAGACACATTGAAAAATGCAGTGATGTTATGTATTTTCAAAATACAACATATTAACGTTTTAATGCAGAAAAAGCCAACGTCTTGGTGTCTTAAGGAGCAAAAATACAACATTTGGGCTCTTATATTGCTGTTGTATGATCACTTATGTTGCAAGTCATATCTCTCCAGCCCCTCATTTGGAATGCTTTTCATGAACTGACCTCATGTCAAACTAGTTGAATAGCACTGCTGTACTCTTTTTCAAAGGACATCCTGGAATTTTTAAGTCAGGACCTCAGTTTAACATCTCATCCGAAAAACGGGCAGTATAGAGTAACTGGAGCATTAGGACCAACACATGGCCGCAGTTTAAGCGCTCTCTACTGATCTTACTAACATCACTTCCGGCGTCAGCCTATCTTTCTCATGTGGTCTCCCATTCAGGTACTGACCGGGCACAGCCCTGCTTAGCTTCAGAGGCTGAACATGTAAGTAGCAGAGAGCTAGCTTGTTTACATGATGCTAACTAATGTAAATGAATAAATACAGTATGCAGTGATTAGTATTAATACAAAAACATGCAGAATATAAAATCCCTCATACATCAGAACTGTCATTGAAACAATAGGTGTTAGGCTAGAGCTCAAACACACCTGCTGCATGCACATGCCTGTTGGAATAATAATACGGAGGTTGACAGACATGCTAAACTGAGGTGCCCTTCCTCATGCACTCTTTTACATTGCTTCCTATGCAGCCAATACAGGCAGAAATAAAAAAAAAGACAAGTGCACACTTGCCAAAGAAGGGAACTGCTAATTTATTGCTAGCAGAGGTTGCTGCAATACACAAACTTGTTTTAATCGTGCACTTTCTGTTGAGATAATATACGATAACTGTATTTATTAGGAGAATCCTGTATTATGAAGTCTTAGACGCTCAGCAGGGCAGATATGTTGCATGTGATTACATACTAGTGGCTGAAATGAAAGCATGAATAAAAGATTAAAAGGCTCTGTCCAACAACAAACCACCAGTATCTCAGAGCTGCTCCATCAATGCAGCAGTGCGGGTGTATATGTGGTATAATTGGCTCCACATTGACCTTAAAGTGCTTCTAATTCTGTTTCTTAATAGCATAAAACACTTCAATTAACCTTGCTGTGTCAATGACATACAAAAGCATGCAGTATCAGTAATTTACCACCACAAACGTTTCTAGCAACTATGAATAAATCAATGCTAACATTGTGTTTCTGACACCTTGGCCATACAAATAAATATGAATAAACAGCCATGATGAAATTAAACTCGAGCTTACAGCATGGATTGCCATGTCACAGCATGTTAAAAGGGCTTTATGTCCTAACCATACTTGACATCATCGTGCAAAATTTTTATTTTAGAAACGGTTTCTATTTCTGCGACGTCACGCCTGAATAATAGCAAACTACTATGACAATCCTCACCTCAGCTGCCGATTGTGTGCTTTAATCAGTGTTAAAGGCTGCCAATGTGACTTTGAATATCATTTTACTTGACATTCATTGACATGCTAAAAAGAGGAAGCAGGTTTATCTCAGATCTTCAAAATAAAAGAACATATTGTTCGAAAATGAAGGTAAGAACGGTAACTAAGTGCAAACCAACAAATAGTCACTCAGCATGTACATATAAGAATGATAAGGAGGCTTTTTAACGTATTAATTAGATTATAAACCATACATTGGAAGTGCATTCTATGCTTCTGAATGGCTCTGGTTATTTACATTTTTTCTGTTAAGTCGCGTTTAGCACAGATAGTCAAATTGTTTGTCGTTGGAATCTTGTCACGCATACATTAGTTCGGAAATGGTTTATATTAAAATAACAGGAAAACATTGGCATCAGCAATTGATTTAGATAAACACATAGATGAATTATACAGTTTCTGATTAATTACACTTTGTCTTGTTACAATTGCTTTGATTAGCTTTATTTTAGTTTAAAGTGAACATAATAAATCAAGTAAATTATTTAATTTAAAACATATGCACTGGACTTATTTCATACAATATACTTCATGTGCTCAAATGAATCATACATATTATACATTTCTGTCTACTATTTTACAGTTAAAAAATAAGTGGTATGTTGTTGTCTTTCAGAATACATGTAGTCATCAGACTGCTTCTCCACAAACGAGAGAGAAAATCACATAACTTTGTTACAGATAAATAATTCCAGACATTTCATTTTGCAGGATACTGGCATCAAATTCAAAATATATACCCAGGAGACGTGTGGCTTTTGACCTTTCACTTTTCTGTATTGCTCCAAAACTAATTTCATATATTTGTTTATGAAATAATGAAATGTTTAGTGCGGTGACATTTATTTTACATTACTTACACTGCAAAAATGCTTTTCTTACTTAGATTTTTTTGTCTTGTTTCTAGTCCAAATATATAAAAGTTCTTAAATCAAGAAGCATTTTCTAGACAAGCAAAACATATTGTCTTGTTTTAAGAAATAATATGCCAAAATGAATTGAGTTTTTCCTTAAATCAAGCATAATAATCAAAAAACAAGATTATTTTGCTTACCCCATTGGCAGATTATTTAGAGCAATGCTAGCCCTTTAAATCTTAAAGCGATAGTCGATGACCCTACAAAAAACAATCCAGGTTCATTATGAAAACGTACCTCAATGTACATTTCTGGAGGCCGCAAAATACGTCCCAGGAGGGACAGTTTTTTTTTCAAGAGTCCACGAGATTTGGATTGCAGTTTTTGTTTTTGTGAATCCACGAGAGGCCACTGTGTACTGCTGTTCTCGCATAAACCCACTAAAGGCCGCTGTTGACTGACTGTTTGACTGACTAACCGACCAATCGACTGACCCACACTCCTCCTTCCCTAAACCCAACCAATTTTATCGATTGACCCACCCACCCACTTCCCTAAAAAAAAAAAAAGAAAAGCCCTCGTCTGATTTTTACCACATTTTCGGATTTTACCACTTTCTCACCCTGTTATTTGATTGTTTATTTTATTTTTTGGGATTCTGTTTTTGTCTTACCCACTTTTTAGAACTGTTCTTCATTGTTGTTGTGGTACTCCGCACTGCGTCTTAAGTCGGCTGATGTACATGACGAGCTAACAGACAAACTGGCTTTAGCGGTAAAGCTGTCCACACGGAGGTAAGCGGTCAGCTGTTAGTGTGCAAAGGATTGCCGTCATACCACCCCATAGTGTTTGTTTAAAAAATTAAATGCAGCCATATGTACCTCTAGCTACATAATTTGCGGTCTCCAGAAACGTATATAGGGCTACGTTTTCAGAATGAGTCTATGTTGAAAATTAAACGTTTCAGTTTAAATGGTGTCAATTAGTTAGATTTAGTTTCAAATTAACATACTGTCACCCAACGGACAAAGGATTTTGGTGAGCAAATCAAGGCGAAAGCAGGTTCTGCTTAACTAGTGTATTCAGCGCTGAACTCCAATGTGTTATAAATGAGATTGTTTATTTTTTAATGCAATTATAATTACAAAAAAAATTTATACTCCATTAGTTTATTTGATTAAAAGTATTGCTTTTTTATATTTATGTTTAAATGTTAGGAAATAAATTAAGAAATTACCCATGGTAACTTTAATTTAAAATTGTTTGGTATATTTATCTTTGGCCATTGGCTCTCAAAGTATAAAAGTTTGAGCACCCCTGGGCTATTCAGACACAGAGACATCTAAAACTACTGGCACATTACGAAGGGGCAAGACAACAAACAAGTCTGAACTGACAAACATGGCTCACTCACTCTAACTATAACATATATTGACTAAAATTCAATGAATTTCACGAAAACCGCTCCTTTAATTTAAAACAGAAAAGCAAACACAGAGTAACAACAGGTTAAACAAACTCAAACACTAGAGACTCTAAGAGCAAGCAGACTAAAGTCAGCACAATTTACCCCATTCAACTCAAATACCACAGGAGGATGTTAACTGGCATTACCTCATATGACCAGACGCACTGGGTTCCTCCAAAACGTCTGACGCAGCGTCCTATCTCCACATCTTCGTGAGTAGTGTACATTTCCCTGAGACAGGACCCGATGTGAGGCACCATCCTGCGGAGAACTTCCCGGCTGAAGATCATCCCTGGACCACCCATACAGAAGTTCTCTCCAGGCTCCAAGGCTAATTTACCCAACTCCTCTGTGGTACCAAGACCTGTCTGACCCAGATACAGTGGCTTACTACTGTTAAGAGATCGAAGGAATGACTCCAACTTCTCACCTGAAGGATAAAGGGTTGTAAGAGAAAATGGTTAGATTAAAAAAACTACAATGGTTTTACATTGCTATATCAATTGGGTATAAACAGTTACTGCTGACTAATATTCTTGGACATGATATTAAAGGGGTTGTTCACCCAAAAGTGAAAAATCCTTATTTCTTCACTCTTGACTTGTTTCAAACCAGTTTGAGCTTTTTTTCTCTCTCTCTACTGAACACAAAAGAAGATATTTTGAAACAGGTCTGTTAATGGCACTTAATATATGCTATGGTCTGTTCTACAATGGTTTATAAGTACATTCAGCACATTATTTAATGTTAAAGGCATAGTTTACTCAAAAGTGAAAAGTCTGCCATTATTTACTCACCCTTGACATCAAAATTAGTTTGAGGTTTTTATTTTTTAACACATTCAAGAGTCCACAAAATTGCTGATTTTTTTAATTTCTGATTGATTATAAAGCTTGTTTGGCATGCTGTCCCAGGAGAGAACCCTAAGCTCATAAGATCCTCGAGCCTGGGGCTCCCTCCCATTTGCAAGGCAAGAGGGGAGTTTGAGCTAAGGTAGATCTCTAGAACTCCCCTGCTGTAGTAGCTAATGAACAGATTCCTCTTAAGAGATAACGACTTACTAGGAGCATGTCCATGGTGCTGATTTGGATTAGTCAATTAACTTAAGTTGCATGTTTTTGGATGGTGGGAGGAAACCGAAAAACCCAGTGGAAACCCACGTGAGCACGGTGAGAACGTGTAAACAGAAACGTCGGCTGGCTTGGTTGGGACTAGAACCAGTGACGTTCTTGCTGTGAGGCAACAGTGCTAACCACTGGGCCACTATGCCACCCATCTAGGAAAGGAGGAGGGGTAGGGGTGGAAGGGGGATTCTTCAAAACGAAGATGGCTTTTATATGGAACTTGGGGTTTTTATAGTGGCTTAGGAATCGTATGATTGGTGAATCATAAATTGAATAATGCGGGACCGACACAAGCAATCATAAGCACGTGATCCTCTCGAAATTAGTTTATAAATAAACTCCACAAAGAAATTATTCTTATTTAATTTTGAAAACCTGTAACCATAGTAGGAAAAAATCAATGTCGAAGTCAATGGTTACAAGTTTCATTTTCTTTTCTTTTGTGTTCAAAAGAACAACAAAATAAAAACTCAAACTGGTTTTGATGTCTAGGGTGAGTAATTGATGGCAGGATTTCCACTTTAGGGTAAGCTATGCCTTAAACATTAAATAATATTGTACTTATAAACGTGTAGAACAAATAGCAGGTATTAAGTGCCATTGGCAGACCAGCTTCATGTAAAATACTCCTGATTTGAAGCAATCTTGCATAAAAACAGTCTAAAAAATAATAATACAGTAATATGTAAACCCAAATTTTAATTTGGAATTAAACAACCCAGTTCAACAAATACAGTTGAAGTCAGAATTATTAGCCCCCCTGAAATATTAGCACCCTTATTTATTATTTTCCCCAATTTCTGCTTAAAAAGAGAGCAGATTTCTTTAACACATTTCTAAACATAATAGTTTTAATAACTCATTTCTAATAACTAATTTCTTTTATCTTCGCCATTATGACAACACATAATATTTTACTAGATATTTTCAAGAAACTTCTACACAGCTTAAAGTGACATTTAAAGGTTTAACTATGTTAATTAGAATAACCAGGCAGGATAGGGTAAATAGGCAAGTTATTGTATAACAATGGTTTGTTCTGTAGACAATCGAAAAAAATAGCTTACAGGGGCTAATAATTTTGACCTTAAAATTTATTTTTTTTTAATAAAAAAAAAAAAATCAGATTTTCCGTGCTCCGTTAAACACCATTTGGGAAATATTTAAAAATAAAAAAATTGAAGGGGGCTAATAATTCTGACTTCAACTGTATGTTAATACACCAATGTGTACTGTAAAATGCTTAATGGATACAAGTAATTTCTGTGACAAAAGAATATCTGTATTTGTTTCACCTCAAAAATCTAAATATTGTTGTTTTTTAAGTAGACGTAAATCTAAACTCACTTCCAATGTTATCACTCGATTGGATTGGCGTTATCAGTGGTTATCAGCTGATAGATATGGGCCAGAAGGGGCTCAGAAGGTCAATCGTATCTGGATGCAGCCTTTATGATGCAAGCTGAGATTGCATCACTCAGCGATGCAATGTCAGACACAATGCACTCAAATGGAGTGAGTGACGTCACTATGATGGGTAGGGTTAGGGGTGGGGTTATGTGAGCCCATTAAAATGCATTGGATGCAGCCCAGATTGCACTGCACCAGGTCTGCATCCAAACCCCTCTCCAGAAGTTAGGCTCAGAAGGCTGTTATCACCATTCACATTATAAATCAGCTATGCTAATAGAGAAGACTCCACATCCAGATCTGTTTTTGCATTACTGTGACGGTTGGGATTAGGGTTGGGGTACACTCTTAAAAAAAGGTATATGGTGGTACAAATAATGTTCCTTAAGGAACAGTTTTGTACCTTTTGTAAAACTTCTACCTTATAAAGTACAGAAAAGACCTCTAAAGATACTGTTCTGTACCATTTATGGTACAATTGAAATAAAAGTACACAATTGTTCTCATAAAAAAAGTACATAAGTGTTGAACAACTCCTTCTTTATTACAATATCTATGGTAATAAATATAACTGGAAAGGCAAAATGATTTATGAATAATTTCCATATTAAAACACGAATCATCATTCAAAAGCATTTGTCTCATATACAATTATAGAATTATAGAATCATATACAATTATAGAAACTCCTAAACAATTATTAAGTTCTATAATACAAAACAACTGGTAAAACATAAAACTATAAAGGTATTGTAAACTACACATTTAAGCAATTTTTAATAAACATTTGGTAAGCATTTTCCAATTCTGATACATTTTCATTTTCGATATCCACTATCAATTTGCTTTCCACTATGCACGTGGACAGGCTAAAGTCCTGCATATACAAAGTGTTCATGCACTCTCTCAAAAATAAAGGTATGTGAACTGTCACTGGGTTGGTACCTTTTCTAATAGTACAAATTTGTACCTAAAATGTCCATATTATTACCTCAAGGGTACATATTAGTACCTAAAAAGGACAAAAGTGTTCCTCTTAAAATTTGTAGGTACTAATATATACGTTTTAGGTACCAATAAGTTCCCTTTAAGTACAAACGAGTACCTTTTGAAAAGGTACCACCCCAGTGACAGCTCACTTAGCTTTATTTCTGAAAGTGTGCAGACATTTTAGTATTGTAAAGCTAATCAAATATTGTGCATATCTCATAACACTACTTTTGCATAATTATATTTCTACTTTAAAGTTATGGAGGAAAATGTTTTATATTGTTCATAGGAACATGTATTTCTGGAACATTTTTGTGAAAATAGCAGTGAAATGTTTAGAAACAGTACATCTTTTGATTTATGTTAAAGAGTTTTTTTGTTCTTTATTGTAAATTGAAAATGTAAATTCACACAAAAATAAACTTTTTTTGTAAACTGAAACATTGTTTAATAAATTTATTTGATGTTTTATATTTACTGAAAATAAATTGACATTTTAAATATAGCAAAATGCCTTTAAATAGTTCTTGAAGGAACACATTTGACATTGTTAATGGACAAATTATCTTGTCATTCTAGTGGTACCTTCATGGATAAGAATTGTACCTTTGATGAAGGTACAATATTGTATCTTCAGGTTTTAAAAACCAAAGGTACATTTTGGTTTCCCATGGTACAAATCATGTCCTTAAAAGTACAATCTGCAATTGTACACATTTGTTTCTTTGTCTTTAGGTACAATTTAGTTCTATAAAAAGGTACTTTCCCAGTGACAGGGGTTTGTACACTCTTTGGTACAACATTGTACCATTTTTTTCTGAGAGTGTAGGAGTAGACGTTAAAAAATATATAATTAATGGGAAATTTATTAAATAATATAAATGATTTTTATTAACTTCTGGCTGCAGCCATATGTGATCTATAGCTGATTAACCATGTGAATAGATGGACGATAACAGCCTTCTAAGCCTACCAGTAGGTGCAGAAGGCCCCTACTGGTCCATATCTATCAGTTGATAACCACTGATTTGCCCAATTAATCGAATGATAACGTTCGAATCGGCTGAAATAGGGCTGTTATTATTAATTTTGTGACCTTTTGTCCACTGCACTTTCTGGTCTTAATATTATAATACATTTGTTATATAAATCATATTTTTTAGATAAAAAATCTAAAATGTCTGGTTGCATTACGGTTATAAACATTTGAGTCAAGTTCAACTATACTAAAAAGAATTCCCCTCAAAAAGGAGCCGTTTAACTTATTTTTAAGTTCTAAAGTTACTGGTTTTAATTTCCCAAACTATTCATCAAAATATTCATCAAAGCAATGTCTTGTTTCATCTTTCTCTTTAAATTCTTATTCAGTTATTCACCTCTGATGTAGACATCATCATCAGCCCTCATAAACCACTCATATTTATCCAGATAATGGTCGTGCATGTACTTCAGCATCATGAAAGACTTCTTCTGAGGAGGGTAGGAATCATCCACCCCAGTCAGCGAGATGACTGGCACTGGGATTGGCAAGGGCACCCTCTCAGAGCCCTCACTGGAGAAGAACTCCACTCGGCCGGGGATACTGGGGGTCCACGTCCTGTAGGCAGCCACGGCCCGGGAGGCCAGGTACTTTTGTGCTGTCATGACCCCCACATACAGAAAGCTGTTAGCTGGAGGTATAGGTCCCGCTGCATCACTACTGTTCCCTGTCCTGTACAGCTCCTCTTCACCTTCATCACTGCCTTCCTGACTGGAGAAGAGCGGCTGCAGCTGCTTGCGTCTGCCATTGGTTGACGAGGTACTGTGGGCGGTGTCTGAAACTTTAGCCTGAGCCCTGGCATTACTGTAGTATGTGCAAACTGAAGACCTTCTGTTCTTCACACTGGTCTCCACAACTCTGGGGACAACCAGCCACGACGCGGCTGTGAAGCCCAGAAAAACCCCCACGATGACGCTCACCAGCGGTCTTCTGGACCTGAGGGCCATCGCACAGTCAATACAGCAGATTAGTCATACACAACAATCTCCTCAAATTGATATGGGCATACTGGAGTGAAATGACCGACTGTGATTATCTAATATCTGCAAAGTGCGTTCGCGTGCAAGTCGCGCGACCTGAAGGTAAGTGCTGTCCCGTTATACGCGAGGTAAACATCTTTCAAATGTATCGATCACAATGTCTATGGGATAAAATCCATCCAAACGTGATCAGTTCTCTCTTGTTTGACGCGGAAGAGTTTCTTATAATTCTTTCGGTCGCTGCCAGAGGCACGTATAATCCACATCACGCGTCATACTGTAACGTTTACAAAGTTGACGCTTCCTTTTCCATGCAAGAAACGCTCGCGTTGAGCTGTTCTCCGCTGAAGACACAGTTTCTTCACCTCAGTGTAAAAATATACTCCATTCACATAAGCATTCTGCTGCTTCAGTGTCCACAGACTCGCCATTTTACTCACAGTTTGACGCGAGGAAACGGAACTTTTCCTTCTCGTCTCTGAAGCATTCTAGTTTCTCCGGTTTGAGCCTCTGGGCGCACTGATGTAACGGGACAAACGCGCTCTGCTTCGTCTAGTCGCGGGGCGGAGCAAAGCAGCTGCTCTTCCCAAACTGACGTGTGCAGGGAAATCCAAAGAAGGTACAAAATTTAGTGCTCTCGGTTGTGTTTTGACTTTAAATGTTTTTTTGATGCATATGTTGTTAAACAACATGTCTTAAAATGCCATTACCCATTGTACTAGGAAATCAAAGACAAATTAATACGTTTTAAAGGATTAGTCCACCCAAAAATTTAAATTTACTTACCATTTACTCTTCCTCAAGTGGTTCCAAACCTATATATGTTTCTTTATTCTGTTAAAGACAATAATAAAAAAATAATAATAAGATAAGCTGTAAACTGTAACCACTGACTTCCATCCTAGGTAAAACAAACACTAAGTAATGTTTTCAGCTTCCTTCAAAATATCTTCCTTTGTCTTAAACAGAATAAAGCGACACAAACAGATTTGGAATAAATGGGTGTGTAAATGATGGCAGAATTTGACATTTTGGGTAAACTATCTTTTTAAGTGATGAACTGTAGCCAGCTTATTGAAAGGGGTGGGTTTTTTTCCATAAAAGACCTTAGACCTTTTTGCAGTTATTTGCCTCATTTTCTATTTAATTATGAGGTTTAAATACTACATTTTAAGCACATTTTTTTTTTGCTGGATTCGCTTAATAACCAACACTTTTTGATGAACAAAAAACATTTCCAACCATTTTGCCAAACCATGCTATTTTACCTTTTTAAGTGTTTATTTACAAATGTGCATTTAAACAGTAAGTTTTATATTACATTTTTATAAATAATGTTGAGATTAGCATTTTAGATAAAAAATAGAATAAAGAAATATAAAAAGATACTTATTTTTAAATTATAATTTCATTATTATCTATCATTAAATTCTTTTTGTTAAAACTTGTTTTAAATTAAAAACTAAAGCCATATGCAAGGAAACCACACTAAAAAACCTGTAGTTTCTGTCAGTAATGTTATTGTTGAGATTATCAGAAAAAAGAGGAAAGAAATATGAAAAGATTCTTGTTTTTAAAATGAAATTTCATTATATATATATCATTTAATTATTTTTAGGAATCTGTTAAAACTTGTTTAAAATGAAAAACTAAAGCCTATATGCAAAGAACCACAGCTGGAGTGCCTGAAAAAAAAAGTAAAACAACAGCTGTTAAATTACAGAAATTTACCAAAAAGTAGGACAATAAATTATAGAAATTTCCCTAAATTTAAATTTCTGGTAAATTTCTGTAATTCAACCTCTGTTTTTTTTTTTTTTTTTTTTTTTTTTTTTTTACAGTAAATGTCTGTAATTCAACGGCTGTTATTTTACTTTTTTCCGGCATCCCGGATAGCTTCAGAATTTATGATAGCATAAAAGATAATCATGGAATAAAAGAGCTCATATAGGGGACCAATTCTGGACCTTTGTCAGTTAGGGGTGGGTCTTTCGAGCCACCCAAACCCCCCTGGATACGGACCTGCCAATAATATTTATAGATTTTGGGAAACATATTTGGAGTCATTAATGAAGCTACGTTGAATTTATTGAATGGCATTTCACCTTGAGATAATCCATGTCATGTTGAGAGGATTCCAATAATGGCACAAACATAAATCAACACAAAGTATACAAACTAAAACAGCATGCAAACAAACAGTTCAATTTACCTAAAGTACCACCCATAATCTACAGCTTGCATATATTAAACAAAGCATGTGCATATGAGAAAACACACAATTTACTGTAAAAATATTTTTACATTTTAAAAAACTAAAATGAAAAATTATGTGCAAGATATTTTCAAATGAGAAAATAAATCAGGCCTAAAGAGACAAAGAAATGTAATTGATCTGTTAGTTAGAGAAACTGTTTTGATCAAATCGAGCTTTATATTGAAATAACCTCCATTTATTGCCATATCGTCACCTTAGAATTATAAGGTTCTATCTGACATTTTTGTCAAAATTGATTTATTCACATATTCTTATTAAATGACAACTTATTTACATTATGTGATGTTTTTTATATAAGTTGATTACATTTTAAGACTTTTTGTTTAAAAAACAAGAAAAAGTCGAACTCTAGCTTGGCCCTATAAGGTTCTTTCTATGAGTCAGCATTTTTAATGCACCGATTAGCAGTACAAACTGCAATGGTTTTTAATGGGCCGATTAGGATCAGCTTTTTTTGTCATTTCCCCGGACTGCTCCATTGACAGCAGGAAACACCAGAAAGACAAAATCACACAAAATCAGAGTCGACTAAATAATACACCACACAAAATTGGGAAGAAACCTAAAACTGAAAAGATGTGTGTAAATGTGATGACTTGGAAGCATATTTTGACATTATTATATATATATTTTTTTTACATTGTTAAAACTGTTGAAACAGTTATTAAAAGTTTATTTATACATTTATCTATCTATCTATCTATCTATCTATCTATCTATCTATCTATCTATCTATCTATCTATCTATCTATCTATCTATCTATCTATCTATCTATCTATCTATCTATCTATCTATCTATCTATCTATCTATCTATCTATCTATATATATATATATATATATATATATATATATATATATGTATATATATATAAGTTATTGCTTTAATGTTAAACATTAAAATGTATTATAGAGAAATTGCACTGACCTAAATTAATAATAATAATAATAATAATAATAATTATTATTATTATTATTATTATTATTATTATTATGCACAAAGTTAATTAATTTAATCATTTTAGGAATGCCACTTAAAATTATTAAATAAATGAACAATTTGCATAATTGTATAAATTAAGTGAACAGTTTCAAGTTACAATGGGTTTGCTCATTTTTTAAGACACTCACTTTTTAAAAAGCAGCCTAACTAATTCCTTTTTTTCAATATTTACAGTCTAACTGAGGAATATACAAAGTTATGTGTTTCTTGTGAAACATGCGATTGAGCCTTTTTCAAGCTATAAAATGAGATGCACAAAAGCAAGTAGAGCTCAAGCTGGTAGTTATTTTAGCTTTCAGAAATAGCAGAGCAGTGGTTTGCTCAAGATAATCACTCACAGTACTTACAGTTAACCTGACAGCTTAGCCATTCAGTGTTGGTGCTTAACAAGGTGGAGTCAAGACTTGACGCCTGACAAGAAGCAATTCACAGAATCTCACACAGAAATATATTACACACACTAAAAGGAATTCTGCCAAAGGGTCACTGGGTTTAAGGGAAAAGAGAGAGAGAGAGTTGTGTGGGGGTAGTAGGGAATCATAGAGAGTTTTAAGCCATTTTCTAAGCATTATTTATTGTTTTTATTGCACTGGCTTACAATGCAGAACACACAAAGTTCTGATATAGCCTATCACTTCGAAAGTGTAGTTTGTACTGTTTGTATTATGACTCCACCTAGTGTTGATTTGATGCATTTTAAATCTCCAGACATTAAACATCTCCACAATTCAATAAAACGATCCCATCTAAATTAAACATTTAAGTAAAAGAAGTAATATGGACTTGATGACAAATCATCAACAGGTCAAAAAATACTAATCTAAATAGGCTGGTAGTAATTTATTGACCAGGTTTGCTATTTAACATGATATAACTTCACATAGATGTGATTCGATATCTAGTTAAACAGCATCTATTATACTGTAGGTCAATGTCAATTTGAACATAATACATTTTTAATGTTTTAAGTTGTTTTCCTATCAGTTTAAGGCATTTATTTAACATTTTTATGATTAAGAGATTAAATAGCACCTAATTAATAATCATTTAATTAATAATATTAAAAATGTATTATGTATGTATGTTTTAGGCATGGGATGATAACCATATTCAAGGTATACCGCTGTTTGTAAAATTTTCTGTAATACCTTTCCTAAGGTATGTTTAAGATTTTTAGAACGACAGATTTTTTCTAGCTAGCAGAAAAGTTATCCAAGGATGATGTTTTAAGTTGTGAAGAAATCTGTGTTTTTAAATCTAATGAAGACAGCAGAAGTCAATGATTCGTTTGATTTGAGTCTGACATGTTTACTGCTCCAAAAAATTATTTAATTGTTTCACAAAATAAAATAGATTGTGTTCAAAGGGGAAAATAAGTTGTTTTTTACCCAGACATTAAAAAAAGAACATATATTAGTGCAGGAATCACAATACCGTAAAATCGTGAAACAGTGATAGTTTTATCCAAGGTTATCATACTATCAGAATCTTATACCGGCCCATTCTAGTATGTTGTAGTGTCCATTCATCCTTCAACTGATTTTTTTGAAAAACTTGCTGGATAAGTTGGCGGTTCATTCCGCTGTGGCGACCCCAGATTAATAAAGGGACTAAGCCGACAAAAAAATGAATGAATGAATGAATGAATATATATATATATATATATATATATATATATATATATATATATATATATATATATATATATATACACACACACATATAAACATCTTTCTGACGAAAGAATAAGGCGGTTCAAAAGGCAAAAGGGGAACATCCTGATAGTAGTAAGATGTACCTAATAAAGTGGCAGGTGTGTGTGTGTGTGTGTGTGTGTGTGTGTGTGTGTGTGTGTGTGTGTGTGTGTGTGTGTGTGTGTGTGTGTGTGTGTGTGTGTGTGTGTGTGTGTGTGTGTGTGTGTGTGTGTGTGTGTGTGTGTGTGTGTGTGTGTGTGTGTGTGTGTACACATCTAGATTGTAGAGCAGGGTTGTTCAAACTTGAGGGCTGATGTCCTGGAGAATTTATCTCCAACTTGCTTCAACACACCTGCCAGGAAGCTTCTATATCTAATAAGAGCTTGATTAGCTGGTTCAGGTGTGTTTGATTTGGGTTGTTATCACTGTCAGACAATTAACAGATGCAATTTAGCTCAAAAGCCTTTCAGACAAAATAATGATTATACATATAATTGATGTGAAGTGTTTGCTGTTGTTTAGCTGAACTGTAAGAATGTAGGAATGGATGCAGACTATAGACTACACAGTTGGCATGGCTCCATCAGTCTCTTGATTGTTTTACCACTATTGGCACAGTAATAATGATCACGACAGCACAAACGAACAGAGTGATGAATGCAAATGTTTTACAAATTTTGTTCCTCTTCATTTCAGCAGCTTTCTTCTTGAGCAGTGAGTCGTAACCAGGGGTATAAAGATCTTCCAGCCAGAAGCTCAGATCTCTTGGGTCTTCCTGAAAGACATAAATTTCAGTTGACTAGACTACCCTTAAAGCAAAAGCAGTGTTTTATATTTTACCCACTCTTTCAATAATGAAGTTATTTTTAAAATGTATGTGAAAATGATATATCTTTATTAGGTACACCTGTCCAACTGCTCATTAACGACAATTTCTAATCGGCCAATCACATGGCAGCAACTCAATGCATTTAGGCATGTAGACATGGACAAGATGATCTGCTGCAGTTCAAACCGAGCATCAGAATGAAGAAGAAAGGTGATTTAAGTGAATTTGAACGTGGCATGATTGTTGGTGCCAGATGGGCAGGTCTGAGTATTTCAAAAACTGCTTATCTACTGGGATTTTCACGCACAACCATTCCTTGGGTTTACAGAGAATGGTCCGAAAAAGAGAAAATGTCCAGTGAGCGGCAGTTCTGTGGACGCAAATGCCTTTTTGATGCCTGAGGAGAATGGCCAGACTGGTTTGAGCTGATAAAAAGGCAACAGTAACTCAAATAACCACTCGTTACAACCAAGCATGCAGAAGAGCATCTCTGAAAGCACAACACGTCCAACTTTGAGGCGGATGGGCTACAGAAGCAGAAGATCACACCGGATTCAACTCCTGTTGGCTAAAAAGAGAACTGAGGCTATAATTCGCACAAACTCACTTAAATGGAACAAGAGAATAGAAGATTGGAAAAACGTTGCCTGCTCTGATGAGTCTTGATTTCTACTGCAACATTCGGATGGTAGGGTCAGAATTTGGTGTCAACAGCATGAAAGCATGGATCCATTTTGCCATGGCACACTTTGGATCTATTAGTACCAATTGAGCATCGTGTCAATGCCACAGCCTACCTGAGTATTGTTGCTGACTATGTCCTTCCCTTTATGACCACAGTGCACTCATTTTCTGATGGCTGCTTCCAGCACGATAACGCGCCATGTCATAGGCATGGCGCGTTATCATCTCAGATTGCTTCTTGAACATGACAATAAGTTCACTGTACTTAAATGGAAACTGAACTACAATGAAGACGTGCCAAACACGAAGGAAATGCCCCTGGAGTTTGACGTCATCCAGCTGTGACACTTTCACTATCCCGCGTTCTGAAATGATTCCTCAAAGCAAAAGTGCAATTTGTAGCAGCAATTTTGCACACGGCATGTCTCAATAATGAAACCAGAAAGAAAAAACTGTTTTTGACATTTCCCCTCAGTCGTTTGAATCGTTGCATGGATTGCATCATCAGATTCTGCATTTCTATTGGTTCTTAGATTGACGCATATCTCAGCGGCTGTCACACTGCAGTGAAGTGTCTGAAAACTGTTAGCACTGCAAGAACTTCATCGAAGAGAAAATATGATCTCAACGAGCACTAAGCAGCTGTCTGTGAACATGTCAAACCAACAATCAAAGATCACTCATTTTAGCCTAGGATTTCAGGAATCTTTTAGAATTTCCCAAATTTGTCACGGATGACAAAAACGTGGCTGAAATCTCACAGTGTGAGCAGGGCTTTAGTCATGTTTGCTCCTGCTTTGACCATTGCCTGTATGACTAAGCTGTAAATGACTAAGCTGTAAATAAATTGCGTCTGGACACTCAACTTTGCTGAAACTGGAATTTATGGTTATACAGCCATACAAGGCCATATCACCCTGCAGCCCAAGACCGGTTACTCACTGAAGCTAAGCAGGGCTGAGCCTGGTCAGTACCTGGATGGGAGAACACTAGGTTGCTGTTGAAAGTGGTGTTAGTGAAGCCAGCAGGGGGCGCTCAACCTGTGGTCTGTGTGAGTCCTAATGCCCCAGTAAAAGTGAAGTGGACACCTCACTGTCAGTGAGCACCGTCTTTCAAATGAGATGTTAAACCGAGGTCCTGACTCTCTGTGGTCAATAAAAATCGTGAAAGAGCAGAATTGTAACCCCGGTGTCCTGGCCAAAGTAGGCCCTGACGATCATGGCCTTCCAATCATCCCCTTTCACCGAATTGACTCTATCACTGTCTCTCCACTCTACCAAAAGCTGGTGTGTGGTGAGCAGAGGGAAGGCAGAGGGAAGGTTATGGTATTTTATAAAAGTTTATGAGGGCAAATAAATTTGTACAAAATATTGAAGTGTGCAGATACATTTTTAGGTAACTAATGGGATATGCTTTAAATCATTTTCACACCATGTCTTCTTTTGTCATTCAATTGTTTATTTGTCTCTATTTACTGATAACATACCTTCATATAGTCTGCCAGCTGGCCATGTGAAGTGTGTCTGTCATAGTCCTGAATGGTCCAGGAGGGTTTGCTCTTGTTCTCTTCAGTCTGAATGATGTTGATGTGAGAATAGAGAGGGTTCTGCTTGATCTTCGGTTTCAGAGTTTGAGGAGTGATGTGTTTCTCCAGCTCTTTGTCTTCAAACATATGACTGTCTCCTGAAGCCTTTTCTTCATTTCCTCTCTCCCTGCCCTTCGCAACAAAGCACAACACACAATGAGAAATGTCAGCGGGACAAAATCAATACAGTCATGCTGTGCAACACCTCTCTGTCGAATGCTGTAATTACAGAAAAATGTAAATGTATTGCTGAAAGTATATTCATTCCTGTCTGAAGCTCTCACATGTAATTTATGCAGTCTAATTACACACGCACACACACACAAGACTCTGGTGACATTTTCATGTCAAGTACATCAGTTCAAAAATTAAATCAGTGCCTCCAAAAAGGTTAATGTTCTATCACGTTTGAAACAAATTAAATATTCCCCCTACACAGCCCTGAAGGGCCACTTTTTGTAGATTGTAGCTTTGACACTAATTAAACACACCTGGACAATTTAATGAGAGTCTTTAGTATTACTAGAAAATTCCAGACTGTTGTGTTTATACTGGTCAGATTCAGTTGAGGACTCAAGCGGGACTGGGCTACCCTGACATGATTTAAAATACAAAATATGAGCCTTTCATTTTACATTTATAATGTGTGAACAATTGGGACGACCAAAGTGATTACTTGGAAATTTTGAGTCATTTCTATCATTTAAATTTGAATGAAAACCTGAATGATTCTCTAAAATAAAGGAAAATCATTTGAACAACCCAACCAGATTCGACAATCGGTAGACACTTACAAAGGCATATTTATGGACTTGAAAGGATTTTTATTTGACCTGTACATTTAATTTGAATTCTGTTCAAATACTTGAGTAAATGGGTGTTATCAGTGGTTATCAGTTGATAGATATGATTCAGTAGGGGCTGTTATCATCCATCTACATAAGTTGTTCCTTAAACTGTGGTACATGTACCACTAGTGGTATGCAGGCTTCCTTCTAGTGGTACGCGGAGGAATGAAATATGTCATGTACATGCTACACACATTTCAAAATTTACCAAAAATGATGGATATAATATGCCATATATGACATATAGCCTATATTTCTGAGGTAATCTGCCACGTTTTTTTAACTGTGCAGAGTTGTAGCTGCTTTACTGGGCCTACTACGCTACTGTATTTCAGTAATGCTCATTTTGTTGGTACTTAGAGAAACAATTTTTTTCTGAGGTGGTACTTGATGAAAAAAGTCTGAGAACCACTGGTTTACATAGTTATTAAGCTATACTAATAGAGAAGACTCCAGATCCAGATCTGTTTTTACATTACTATGACGGTTCGGTTTAAGGTTGGGGTATGGGCAGACACTAATAAAATACAATAAATGGGAAATACGAGTTCAGTCAAATGAAAATATACGATTTTAAAAATGAGGCGTGGCACCCAATCCCACCCCTAAACCTAACCGTCATTAGGTAATGAGCAAATTGTACTAAATTGTACGTATTAGATCATACGAATTAGCCACTAAATCAAAAAGTTACGAATTGCTGTAAAATTGCATTGGGTTAATCGATTATACTAATAGAGAAGACTCCAGATCCAGATCTGTTTTTACATTTCTTTGACGGTTGATTTTAAGGTTGGGGTAGGGGCAAATATAAAAAATTATATAAAAAATATATTATGCAGCCTCTGTCGCCCTCCTGTGGATGGACAACGTCAACCGTCTTTGGTCCACTCAATGCGGCTAATGGCCCGCCGAATCACTGCTTCTCAGAAATTATAAATATTTTAAGATAGGTACTATATTTAACTGCAATCTAAAACAAAAACAGTTTTTGCAATCTAAACAACTGCATTCCCGACTAAAAAAGCCCAAAAAGTACATTATGTTGCCCAACTGCAGAAATATTTGTCAAACTGTCTTCTGCTTGCTGTATGTGTGCAGAGTAATAAAAAGGTGAAGGATTAAGAGGCTGGACTAGTGCTGTTATTGCAGAATATCTCACGGCACGACAGAACTATTGTATATATATATATATATATATATATATATATATATATATATATATATATATATATATATATATATATATATATATATATATATATATAGTTTACTATAGTAAAAGCTAAAGTATACTATGGTAATTACTATTAGTTTGTTACTAATGTTACTACATTATGTAGAGTAATTCATTAATGAAAAGTCAGAAGTATACATGTATAGTATATATAATACAATGCTTATTTCTTAATATTTTACTTTACTATAAATTACTATAGTATTTTAAATGTGTAACACCTGGTTTTATTGGATTTTTGTTTTTGCTGTCATATTCTATCATTTGTTTCTGTTTAGTGCAGCATATTATTTGCAAATATATTTTTATTTGTAAATAATTGAACTGAACAATAATGCCTCATATGTGTCATTGACAGTTTATTGATCACTAAGACATGATTGACTTGCAAAAATAGCTGAGATGTAGCTACTTTGGCCAAGTAGCTTAGCTTGCTACATTTTTCAGACAGATTTTAGTGTAGTTAGGCTGCATTTTAAGTAGAGTAGCTAATATCAGCTTATTACATTTTTCAAGTAGCTTGCTCAACACTGGGTAATGCAAGTCATTTTAGTCAATGAACATCTTTGAAACACATCTCAGGCAACTATTTCTGTCAAATATACACTTTTTTCTAAAACCCAATTATTCAGTAGGGTTTAAAATACTTTGCTTTATCATATATTTTGTTTAGGAATTGCTGAAAAGTGCTGGTTGTTTTCAGCTGCATTGCAGCATGCAGATTAAACATCAGATATGCTCTGATGCGATGGTTGGGTGGAGAAGTTGGACTTGGTACAATAGTCTTTTATAAAGTAAGCAGCATAGTATATTGTTAATAAATTCAAAGCATTTGGTGAAAATTAAAGCGCTGCTGGTTACCCCTTTTGTTTCTTGTTAGTTAGCAGTGTTTCTCAACCACATTCCTTGAGCACAACCAACACTATATGTTTTGGATGTCTCATTTTTCTGTCACACCCATTACAGGTGTTTCAGTCTCTGTTAATGAGCTGATGATCTGAATCAGGTGTCTGGTTATGGAGACATGGAAAATGTGCAGAGCTGGAGGTCCAGAACGTGGTTGAGAAACACTGAATTGCAGCATAAATATAATCTAATAAATCAAATGGTGCTTGTTAAGCCAAACTTTTTTTTTTGTTCCCTTTCACATGAATAAAATAGTAGAGTAATTTATTGTAAATTCTTCAGTATTTTTGAGCCATATACTGTAAAAAAATATCTGTAAACAGTTTCCATATTTTATGATCAACAATTTCTTTTTGATTTATTTACTGTTATTGATTGCATTATGGGACCTTGATCTCTGCTTTGTCAATGTTTGATGTTGAAGAGTCAAGTCTACAATTTAATATAGTGACTTTTTATTGATATTTTAGTTGTTTTGATACACTATAATAAATCATATATAAAGAAATAAATCTGTAAAATAACAGAAAATGTACTGGAGGTTTATTACATGGTTTTGTAGCATAATATACAACACCAACTGTTAATAAATGTTAATAAAATTCATTTATTATTAAACTTTAAAGGTTAAAAGTTGTTGGAAAAAAGATCATAATGCAATTCTAAAGCATAGTTAATTGTGGGAAAATAAAAATTTGAAACATGAATCACAAAATATGAAAACGTTTTACAGCGTAGTAAAGTCTACTATACTGTATATATTATAGTATTTTCATACTTAGTTACTGAATGCTATATTAGCCTAAATATATACATTTACTGTATCTATGGTGAAGTGATAATCTGTAATAAATAGTTGTAGAAAACTTGGATTATTTGTTTTTATTAACCTATAAGTCAAATGACTTTTATTGATATTTCAGTTGTTTGAAATGTTATAATGTACTTTAATAAATAAAATATAAAGAAATAAATCTGTAAAATAACAAAAAATGTACTGAAGTTTATTACAGGGTTTTTGTGGTGTAATATACAACACCAACCCAGACAATATATCACTTAAAACTATTAAAATGTTAATAAAAGCCTCTTTTTGAAGCTTTTTAAGATTAAAAGTTGTTAAAAGAAAAATCAAGGTCCCATTGTGCATTTTCTTAAGCATAATTAGTTGGAAACAAATACAAAAAAATAATAAAAACATGAATCACAAAATATGAAAACTTTTTACATATACATTTTACTTTATACATATATATTCTATAAGATACTTTAGATTTCACTGCAGTAAACTGTGGTTTAATGTAGTACAATATACACTATAGCCTAAATAGTAGTTGTAGCAAACTACAGTATTGGGTTATTTGTTTGAATTAACCCACTAAACTATTTTAGTTGCTTGAAATGTTATAATGTACTATAATAAATAATATATAAAGAAATAAATCTTTAAAATAACAGAAAATGTACTAGCAGTTTCTGTACCATAATATACAACACCAACCCTAACAATATATTACTTTCATCTATTAAAAATGTTAATACAAGACTTTTATTTTATTTTTATTTTTTTTACTTTTTAAGGTTAAAAGTTGTTTGAAGAATGATCAAGGTCCCATAATGCATTTCTAAAGCATAATTAAGTGGGGAAAATAAAAAATAAAAACATGAATCACAAAATACGAAAACTTTTACAGTGCAGTAAAGTCTACAGTATTATATTGTATAGTATTCTCACACTTAGTTATTAAATACTATATATGCCTAAATGTAGTATTTACTGTATCTATGGTGAACTGATAATCTGGAATAAATTCTATAATATACTTTAGATTTACTGCAGTAAACTGGTGTATTGTTGTATAATATACATTATAGCCTATGGTAGTTATAGAAAATTAAAGTGTTGGGTTATTTGTTTTTATTAACCTATAAGTCAAGATTACATTTTAACAAAGTGACTTTTATTGACATTTTAGTTGCTTGAAATTTTATAACGTATTATAATAAACAATATATAAAGAAATGAATCTGTAAAATAAAAGAAAATGTACTGGAGGTTTTTTTTAACAAGGTTTTTGTACTATAATATACAAAGCCAGTCCAAACAATATATTACTTTAATCTATTTACAATGTTAATAAAAGTCACCTTTTTGAACTTTTTGAGGTTAAAAGTTGTTGGAGGAATGATCAAGGCCCCATAATCCATTTCTAAAACATGATTAATTGGGGAAAATTAAAAATAAAAACATGAATCACAAAATATGAAAACTTTTTACAGTGCAGTAAAGTCTATTATACTGTATAGTATTCTCACTTAGTTATTGAATGCTATATAGGCCTAAATGTAGTATTTACTGTATGGTCAACTGATAATCTGTAAAAATTCTTTAGTGTAGATTTTACTAGAGTAAACTTTGGTATATTGTTGTATAATATACAATATAGCCTATATAGTGGTTGTAGAAAAGTTTATATTAGCATTTGTTTATATTAGCCTACTATTGTAGTTGTATTACCAATAATTCAGAATAATTCAAGCACTTTATATCGTTCAAAAACTTTGTAGTAGGCTATTTGCTAAATTTACAGCATAAACTTACAGGAACGCTATTATTACAAAAAATAGCTATGCTGTAAATTCGGTTTGCTTATGATGGAATTTGCTTGCTGTAATCTATAAGCGTAAGCTTCATTTCCAGGAAATTTTTTTTCCCACAAAGCAGCTCTCACGTTCTCCTTCCCTGTGGCAGCCTGAGTCTGTATGCTAACAGAGTTTTACCTGGGAGTACATCCTGTTGTGCCACTGCCGTTGGCGAGACAGTGCAGCGCCAATCTGAAACATTCCATGTGTAGCCGGCAACATTCCCACATCCAGCTGAAGGAATTTCTCTGGATGATTGTTGTTCGGCAGGACGGCTATGTCCATTTTGTGACTTGCGTAAGGCTGAAATGAGCCTTACTGACTCTGATCTCATTGAGAGATTAATTATTCATGATGTAACTCTACCTGATACCTACTAGTGAAGGGCTAGTGTCACACCTACAACTACCCTACCTGACAAACGTCGTCACCTATCCAAGTTTTAGGAACTAGTTGATCATTTGGTATCAGAAGTGGCTTATATGAAAGGTAAAGGATTACGCTTATTTCACCAAAATAAAATATGATCATGTCTTGATTTTTAATTAGGACAGTAAGGTCTGACTTTGCTTAGGCAAAAGTCACAGAAATAATGTTCAGTATAGAATCTTAAGTCAATGGTGCAGTGGATACAGAATTAATATTGTGTATGGCTCTCATGAGCTTGGGCGACTGCCTCCATCTCTGCAATGACTCGAATAACTTGCTAATAAAGTCATCTGGAATGGCAAAGAAAGCGTTTTTGTGGGACTCCCAGAGTTCATCAAGATTCTTTGGATTTATCTTTAATGCCTCCTCCTTCATCTTACCCCAGACATGCTCAATAATGTTCATGTCCGGTGACTGGGCTGGCCAATCCTGCAGCACCTTACCTTCTATGCTTTCTGGAGCTTTGATGTGGAGGCTGAAGTATGAGAGGGAGCGCTATCCTGTTGAAGAAATTGTCCTCTCCTGTGCTTTGTAATGTAATGGGCTGGATTAAAATAGCTACTATTCAGCAATACCTGTTTCTTCCAGCAGGTAGGAGTGGCACTGTTGTCACAAGGTGTTTAAAAAATCCCGCCACAGCACTGTCATCATACATTCATTATTTTGAGGAGCTGAAGCTGATGGGGTAATAATACAACTGTTTCTCCAAACTAAATAGTTCTAACTACTGATGAAGCTTAATATTTGTTTTCATAGTATTAAAAGTGTGCAGTTTTGGTAAAAATAAAATAACTGTAATCAATAAAATGTGCATCATTTCAATGTAAATACATGTGAATTAGTTAGAAAATTGTACTAGCTTTCTAGATATGATATAGATATCTACACATATTTATCTAGATATGATATAGCCAGTCACTGTTTCTGTTTTTGTACAGTTCCATATGTTTTTGTAATCGTTAAATCACAGTGAGTTTATGAATCTAGCATATTATTTTCTAGCTAAGTTATATTCTACTGTAACACGCTATATCAGTTAGCATCGGATTATAAATCAACTTTATTCTTATGAAAATACCTAAGATGGCTGGAAGAACACATATAGACCATTTATTGTTGCAGTCGTGTAAATGACCAGTTAAAGCCATTTTGTGTTTATTCAGATCTTATTTTCATTCATTCAACTACAGCAATAGCTGGATTCCTTTTTCCATATTAGGGATTTCCTGGAATGTTCTGCTACTTTTGTGAGGCATATTTGGAATTTCTGCTCAAGTGTGAATGAATCAGGCATTACATGCATTTAAAGTGCTACACTGTCCACATCAACCTATTTTGAGGAAAAATGAAGAAAAATCTCCCCCTAAAGAAATCTGAATCAAACATATTTCTAGCATATAGCTTTATTTAATAATTTTTTGTACTATTTTTGATACAATTGTTATTATATTAAAAATAGTAGCCTATAGAATGTCAATATTTTTGCAAGGTATTGAATTTAGAAATTCCAGTATCTTGACAACACTACACCTTAGTTAATCACTCGGTCCAAATGAACATGTTTGTAGCTTTGTATCACATTGCATAGCAACTCACACCGTAAAATAAATCATATTTTCAGATTTGAAGACATGCAGAAAATTACATTTTCAAAAAACACACAGAAACTGCAAATCAGGAGGTGATGATAGGCTCAAGAGGTCTGATATGGCTCATAACAGACTAGTAAAGAAGAAGTGGGTTAATTTATCAATGTTTTTTCCTTTTTGATGTCACAAAGCTTCACAGTTTATTGTTAAAAAACTGTCAATTCAAAAACCCTTTATTTATTTTATTATTGAACCATTTATAATCATATTATTAAGATTAGAAATCACCTTTTGAAAGTGGGGGTATTTTAGCAGGGTGAATTACAACTTCTTGTTTGGGGGGAAGGGAGGGAGGGCTTCTTTGGGGCTAAGCCCCTTATCCATTACGACCCTAGCAAAGCCCCTGAACTGAAATATTACCTATAATATTATAGCATAATAATATGCTATATCAATATAGCAAGGAATGACCCCTAAATTGATCTGCATAAATAACACCATCTTTTAAAACATGAGATTTTGTTAAATGTATTCGTCTTAGTTTTTTTTTTAAGTTGCAGCCTTTTTATTTTTATTCTGTGTTGATAGATTCTGTAATAAAGTAACTTCTGAAATTGTCTTATTTTGTTGTCTTAATTTTTTGCACCACATTATGAAGAGCATGCAGTGTGTGAGTGTTTGTCTTTAAGAATTTTATAAGTTTAAGTCTGCAACACAGAAGAGCACAAGAAATAAAGAACAGAGAGAAATTAACTATAACATTTATTGTTATAGTCTTTCCATTTTCACTTGGTTTTGTTATTATTTTTCTTCTTATTTACTTTGTTATTGGTTTATTTTTATATTTTATATGTGTTTTCTTGTTTGGTTGCAGGTTGTAGGACATTTTCCATGTCCCACATGGGTGAAGAAAGATGAGGTGAGTGTTTTTAATGGCTCATTAGTTTGTCATTGTATGATGCTGCACGATGTTTGACTAATATGAAAAAGATTGTAGAAGTTAACATGTCACAAAACAGATTTATTAAACAATATATTCCTTAAAACAATTATATAGATGGAAAACTACAGAGATGCTCAATAAAAACTGCAAGTCTCGATTGAAAGTGTGAGAAAAGTGAGCAGTAAAAGTGTTTGCTGTGTGTGAATTATAATTTAGCATCAAGCCGCTCCAGACCCAGGAGTGCTGCTTTTACCCAGACAGCAGCTCTGGATACAGACACACGGGACGGCACCGCTGAGCTTCCTGGTTTTTTGGCTCCTCTGCCTTCACATTTGGCTGATTCTGCATCCACAGACCAGAGGAACAGCAAGAGGAAAAGGCAGTCCACCTCATCCAGGAGACCAGCCAAATGCTCTTGCAGAGGTCAGCACAGCTCATCTTGCAGATCTCATGGCTCAGTTAAGAAATGATTTGTCATTGAAGACACTGCAGCATGTTTCCTCTTTTCTCTTCATTTCTTGTGCTCTTCTGTGTTGCGGATTTGTACCTGAAGGGCCCGCTGCTGGGACGAGGTGGATTCGGCTCTGTGTTTGCTGGGATCCGCAGGTCTAATGGACTGCCAGTAAGAGATTTTCTTCCATCCTACATTAAGACATGCTTTAGAAATGTTGCTGTCAGTAAATGTCATGTGTCACCATCAGGCAGGTGTGATTTACTCTGTCTGCAGGTGGCCATCAAGTATGTGTCGAAAGACCGGACCCCCGAGAGACTGAAAGTTGTAAGTTCCAGTATGAAATATGTTGTGTTTGCTGTGTTTGATTCAGTCCTGGATATAATGGAGGGTTTGTCCTGCAGGACGGTCAGGGTCGGCTGCCGCTGGAGGTGGCATTGATGACCCGTGTCACTTCAGCTCCTGCCTGCCCCAGTGTCCTGCAGCTGCTGGACTGGTTTGACCCTCCCAGACGCTACGTCCTGATCCTGGAGCGTCCGGCTCCTTGTCAAGATCTCCAGAGCTTCTGTGAGGAGAACGGCTGTCTGGACGAGCGTCTGACCAAGAAAGTGCTGGTGCAGCTGATCGCAGCGCTGAAACACTGTGAGAGCCGTGGTGTCCTGCACCGGGACGTCAAGCCAGAGAACCTGCTGGTCTCCACAGAGTCCCAGGACATCAAGCTGCTGGACTTTGGCTGTGGAGATGTGCTGAAGAGATCGGCCTACAAATACTTTTCAGGTGAGTTTGAGTTACTGAAGGAAACGTTCAGTTGATGTTTGTGAACTTCTGCTGATCAACTAAAGGGAATTTGTCTGTACTGGAGCATTTTAAGCAGATGTTTGTGGTCTTCTTGTGTCTCTCAGGCACTCCTGCATTCGCTCCTCCAGAGTGGTTTCGCAGACGTCACTACAATGCCACTCCAGCTACAGTCTTGTCAGTAAGAGTGACGCTCTACAACATCCTGTGTGACTGTTTCCCCTTCAGAGGCGCACGGAGGGTCACATCCAGAAGCAGACTGACCTTCCCTAGGAGCTTGTCAACAGGCAAGAGATTCAGACACATTCAAAGAGGGTATGGCGAGCGAGCAGAAGTGTGTTGCTGTGTGTTTCTGAAGACGGTCTTGTGTGTAACAGAGTGCCGTCAGCTGATTCGCTGGTGTCTCAGTGCAGCGCCGGCTGATAGGCCCAGTTTAGATGATCTTGAGCACCATCCCTGGTTGCACTGAACAGGTGGCCAGTGACACACTTATCTGAATCCAGAAGTCATGGCTTGGGTTGTATTGTCAGGTTCAGTGAAGATAAACACTGCCAATGATTTGTAGAAGGAGAGCAGGAGTGGCAGAGGAACTGAGGAGAACAGATGCTGTTCCTGAACTTACTCTGCTGCGTCTGTGAGGCTCTGTATCAAGCTAGAGAAGCCGAAGTCACAAATACACACACACACGCACACTAGCTAGTCTATAATATCTATAATATGACAGCAACAGGAAAAGTGTCAGCAAGACAATAAGAAAGTTGTCTAAGTCTTAGATATGAAATAAGTCCAGTAGGTGGCGACAAACATCACTAAATAACACATTAGGATGAGCTAGTGTAAACTAGCATAATGTGTTTTAATTGAGAACAGCAGAAAAGAAAAGGGAAACAAACACATAGTATAAGAAACAAGGTTATTAACATCCTGTCCAATTCTGTGCTCAAAAAATGAACAATAAAATGTATTTTATGCCCAGTTGCAGCAGTTACTTTGGCATTACTGCTTTCATCTAAATATAGATGTAGCATTTCAAAACACATTTACAGGCCATTACACACCACACAGATGAACAGCAACAAACAAGTCTGTTGGAGTTTGTAGGTTCAGTGTTACCCCTGTTGGTGTGTGTTGCCGTTAATCTGTTGGTTTTCACACAAAAGCATCCGTGTGAATTGGCCTTAATGTCCAGTAAACTGGATGTTCAATGTAGCAAAGCGAAGCATTAGCCAATATTGGAAATAACTTGAAACATGAAGCCGGTTAGACCTGTACAGAATGTATAGATGGCTTTTAATACAGTATATTCAATAAAACGTCCAATAAATTTTTGATATTACTGATGCATTTTAAATGTGTCAGTGACTACGTTAACATGTGCACGAATAACAGATTATTTCCAATAATCAGAGTAAGGGCTTAAATGCAACATTACATGTCAGGAGCTTAATTCTGTTTACTGTACATCAAATTTCCATTATTTACGTTATTTCCAATACTTTGTGGTTATTTTTCTTACTGATGTTATCCCCGTTTCACTTCACAGCACAAATGACAATTAAAGGGGACCTATCATGCAAAAATCTCCTTTATGAGGGATTTAAACACAGTCCTGTGGTGACAGTGTGCGTATTTGGCCAGCCGTTATTGGTAACAATTAATTAAAGGGGTGGCCTACTGAAATATAATATTTTACACTTTAGTTTGTGTCTAATGTATCTGTGTAAACATAAACAACATCTCTGAATGTAATACACTCAATGCAAAGGGAGACATTGGCTTTCACAGCGTTAGCTTAGCAAAGCCTACAGCGAACAAAGTTTGGGGACTAAAAAAAATACATCCAGGTTAATTAAGTCATAAACCCCACACCCCGCTTACTGAAGCTATTTCCACAGAGCGTCTTCTGTTTCTGTATTTGGGCTTCCACATAGAGAAGTGCTTACAATTTAATTTTAGTTATGTTTCAGAGAATTATAAAAAAGATATAGAAACAGATACATCTTGCATTTAAATCTGTTAAGCTCAAGTGCATCAGATTCATAACTACCACAGTCATGACTAATCTATAATGGTAATACTATGTCTGACTTACTGTTGCTCTTTAAAACGCATGTTACTGTGCAATTCAAATGAGTCTGATATGTTTTGTGGTCTGTGTCAGCTCACGCATATGATCTGCTTTTTGCTGTCACTCTCCGGGCTAAATCTGGCCATACCTGCATGCTGTGGTGATTCACATGACATTAACGCGAAAACACCTCAATCACCCCAATCACCCAAAAGAAATCATACTTATGATCTATCCCTATTAACAGTAGAACCAATATGATCATGTTTCTAGAACTGAATATAATCGTATCTCTCCGGACACGCATCACTCACCTGTCAGTCAGTCAGTCAGTCGGTCAGTCAGTCTGTCAGCACGTAACCTCAAAGGGTTTAACAAATAGCGCACATCACTACTATGGTTACAGAAAAAGTTTGTGCTGTTATAATTCACTTCCCTTTTAATACGTTTTGGTGCAATGATATTCCGCTATCAAAAACAACAACAACAACGACTAAATGTTTTGAATGAGAAGCTGTAATGTAGCCATGGAGGGATGCATTTTGGTGTGGCGCCCCGCCATGGAAAAATGAATGTAGCAGGAACCATGCTCTTAAGTTCTCTGTAGTTGTCTTGACAACACATCCCCTGTGCAGCATCCCGTTCCCCCGCCTGTTCAGTCCACACTTTGACGGTGTGCCACTGTTCTCCTCTTAACCTGCAACTTTACGTCGGAATTTTTTTAAACAAAATTTACACACAGTGCGATGTTCAGACCCCACTGCGTTAACCCCATCAGCTAAACTCTCCCACTCTATTTTTTTTCTTTTCTTATTAATTCCGGAGGACAAACTTGCAAATAGCACTGTTTCTCTCCTGTCTACCACCGATAGGAGCACCTCCAATTCACATTCTGAGAAGTTTCTCTTCTTGCTTGCTGTTGCCATTGCTTTTTCAGTTGGTTTTGCTAGTGGAGTCATTACCATATTCATACGGGGGAGGAGGTGGGGAGGGGTTTTGAGGTTGTGCACGTGCACTCAGTTTCACGTTAATTCGGATGTACAAAGAGAAAATACGTGGGATTCCGCTTACGCAGTGTTTCATACATCTGATTTATTTATTTTTATTTTTTTTACCAACTACGCACATTTACAGCTTTGTCCATATTAAATGTTTTAGTATTAATCCAAAGTAAGTCTTCGTACATGAGGCCCCTGGTGTCTGGCAGAGTATAGCTCCAACCCTAATCAAACACACCTGAACATGCCAGCCAAAGTCTTGCAATAGTTTTGTGTTGAGACAAGTTGAAGCTAAATTCTGCGGGGACACTGGACATCCAGTACCCATATTGCTGACCCCTGCACTAGCATTTACATAAAACACAAATGTGTAACCTTGAAATCTCAATCTTTGCTGCATTAATCAGGACAACCAAAGTTGGAAACACTTCCCAAAACACAACGTAGTTTGAATTGCATCTATGCTCATGTTAATTGGTCTGTTTCTCCTTATCCCAAGGTTCACGTAATTGTCGATCTGGCCCATATCCAGAGCAGATGGTTGTTGTGGTCATCGATGAGTCAAAGCACATTCCTGCAAAGACCCCAGTGACAGACAAGTCTCTGCACTGATTCCGTTGGCTAGTCTGAACACCCACTCGATGACCTACTAGGATCTACACCTTCTCCACGATGGATGCTTACCGTTTGCAAGCCCTCTAACACCCAGAGCTCTGCCCTTGATGTTTGGCCAGAGGAGAAATGGTTGCCCCAGTTGAACCTGGCTTCTCCCAAGGTTTGTTCTCCTCTTTCATCAATTGTAGGACTTTTGGTTCCTTGCCACTGTCGTCTCTGACTTACTGAACCAAATTAAAATCAACTGAACTTTAACAGTGACTGTCACAGATAGGCTGTGACTGACTTTTATAAAGAAAGATAGTTAGCATGCACTAACTCACACAAACCATTTCCACTATACACACAATTTAGATGCCGGCTGAAAAAAACATCAAATGCACTGTTTGTGTGAATCCTTGACAGTTTTGTGTGATTTAGAAATGCTCCATTTATTTCTGCAAAATCATTATTGCTGTTTATTTTTTTTTATTCAGCTTAACATTTGATTACTTGGTTTAAAATTTAAAATAAATCACATCATACTTTGTTGTAGTGATGTGACGTTGTGCGCCGAGGCTTCGAAGCATGTATAAAAAAAAACGATACATCTCGCAGTGAAGCATTGATTCATCCGGAGCTTGATTCATTTTGCCATCATCACATGATCAGTGACGTCTGAAGCTTCATTCTCGCCTAACAGTGACATGGTATTAAACATCAGCATTCTACAGATACTCTCTTGCCTGCCTAATTTGCTGAAATATTCTTTAAAGTCTGTTTGAAATCCAAATTTACATAATTTTGCAAAAATAACCCCTGGCCCTGACTCAATATTGTTTCAGTTGAAAGTACATAAACAAACTGAAATAAAAGTCCAAGCAACTCTCAGTTCATGCAGACTTTAAGCATTGTTCCATTAAATTGTTTAACTGTAAATGTTGTTTTTCACAGTGATCTTCGGTTGCATTAATAAATGCACTTTGCATAATATGCACATACTTGTTCTGCCATATAAACATAGTTTTCTTTGATGACATCATGCACATTAAGAAACAATAAAAGATTATTCCATAACATCTTTAAAACATAAAAAAAAAAAACCCCAAAAAAACTCCATTAAGATGCGTTCCAGAATGTTTTCAGTGAAAAACAACATCATATTGACTGCTAATTCAGGAAGCTTGCAGAATCAGCAGTGAAATATTTATATGGTGGTAAGCTTATGCAATATTTATATACTCTTCATCGCTGCCATTTTTTACGCAGCGGATGCTCTTCCAGCCGCAACCCATCTCTGGGATACATCCACACACACCTTCACACACACACTTATACCCTACGGACAATTTAGCCTACCCAATTCACCTGTACCGCATGTCTTTGGACTGTGGTAGAAACCGGAGCACCCGGAGGAAACCCACGCAAACGCAGGAAGAACATGCAAACTCCACACAGAAATGCCAACTGAGCTGAGGATCAAACCAGCGACCTTCTTGCTGTGAGGCGACAGCACTACCTACTGCGCAACTGCGTTGCCAAAAAGTTGAATTATAAAATTAAAAAAATTATCTATTTTTGTTTGTATTATTGACTAGTGGATACCCTATAAACGAATTTCTCTCTACAAGTGTTTTCTAAACCCCCAGCATCAGGCCCGGATTGGCCAATCGGGAGGACCGGGAGAGTTCCCGGTGGGCCGGTCTGTTTTTTGACCGCGAGGGCCGGTGTTTCTAGCTGCTTGCACTCTCAGCAGTCCATAGCCTCACTCTTTTTATTCATCATATTGTCTCGCAGCCCCATGAGCAGAATGCAACCTGCAGGGTAATGATCATGTAACTATAATTCCGGCCACTCAAGTGTATTAGCACCATTGTGGTCCAGTGGTTAGCATGTTGCGTTATGACGTCGTCGATCCGTGTACAAACCTCACCTTAGTAATTTTTTTTTTCTTTAAGTTTTATTGTTAAGACATATAAAACTGTAAGGCTGTTGAACATTTGAAGTTCTAAAGCAGCTGTTTTCTTGAAAAAGACGTGATAGTGTAATTAGAAACTGAATTGGGAATGACCTTATTTTAATATAGTCAGTCGTGAACTGAGGTGGGCCGGTCTAATGCTTGAAACTCCCGGGCTGAAAAGGAGTCCCACTCCGGCCCTGCCCAGCATCCTCTAAAGGCCTCAGGTAATGAAAATGAAAACGTTTTGTTAATCCACCAACAGGGGGTGCAATAACGACATAACTCAATTTAGTAGGGGAAAGTTCAAATACACGTTCATTAATTTTCCTTTATTCATTAAGGATGGCCACAGCGGAATGAACCACCCTTCAATTATACGGTATACCATAATTAGATGAAAACGTATTTGGAAACATTTTCCAGTAGTTTGTATAGCCTTTTATAATCACAAGGCTTTTATGTTACAAGGCTTTGTTCAAATAAACATTTATTCATCTCAGATATAGAGCAAATACAAAAAAAAACTGCACACAAAGGTACACAAAATAATTTTGCTAATTCAATACAACAACAAAAAATAAGCACTAAATACAATCGGTAGCGACAGTTCATTAAGAGGCACCAAATACATATTCCTCCAATATTCATGGACACAACAAATGTATGCGGATTTCAACACACACACACACACACAAAAAAAAAAACCACACACACACACACAGACACAGAAGACACACCAATAAATAAAAGTGTAAAATGCAAGTATGGAAATAAATAACCCATCTAACTTTAAAGGGTTAGTGCAGTTTGTAGAATCTAGGGTTGATTGGGTTATATAGTTAATAAATTCAAACAATGGGGTAAAACGTATGCTTACACATAGTCTCAACACAAACATGTCCATTTTGGGATGTACCTAGGGCCTGTACCAGATTAGCTGGCTAGCCAGTTCAGTTTTAGTTTACATTCTGGATTTTGGGTACCATAAAGGTAGCTTAGGGTTGGTTTGATCGTTCTTTGTTGCCATGATGTCTTAGGCTACACTGTTAACCTCCTCTGGGACAGGTTATGTTCTGCTTTAAAGATCGCAAACCAATAAACTGTAAGCAATGGGCTCTAAACCAATGATAAACTTCCAGTGAAAGCTTAATGTGACTATTTTCAATTCCACAAGGTTGCTTTTACAGCATGTTGTAATGTAATTACAATATATTCAGTTAAACAGACTTAAGTTGTTAATTTAGTTGTTCAAGTGTTAAATGAGATGAAAGACTGGTGTAAAATAAACTGTCCTATTTTAAAGACATGGCGGGGGAATGGAATTTAATGCAGTGCTTCCTGTCTAATCTGAGACCCATTTCATATCTAACAGGCAGTGAAGATCGCTGATATGTAAAGAAATCCGATCTTAAACATGACAATTTTATAATGGAAAGACAGGTCACCAGAAGCCCTCGAGCTGCCTGACTGTAAATTGAAAGTCCATGTGCAGATAGCCCATAAAGCCACTCCTCCTGTTCAAATGAAAAGTCTCTGTTTAGTGAAACACAGTCGTCAGATCTAAACGATAAATGTACACATTTTTATATATAGCTGCAATTAAAAAGATTATTTATTTATCAGTATATAAAGCTTTAAAAATGGCATATGACCATAGATCTGAGTCCCTGCATAGTACACATTATAGGGTATATGCCGAGCTAGTGTTTTTCCCATACTGATAAACTTCTGGTGACCTGTTATTATGAACTTTTTTCCATTTTATACGGTTCCTTTTGCATTGACATTGTAATGTAATTCAAATAAAATCAGTTAAATAAACTTTGGCATTCATTTAGTTGCTCAAGCGAGACAAAAAGCCACTTACTCACACGCGCCTGTCAGAATCTGCAGGCTAGCGCAGAAACTCCATTGAATATACTGGGGTAAAATAAATGCTTATAATATAAAGACATGGTGGGGAAAATGTAATTTAATGCAGTGCTTCTTGTACAATCTGAGACCCACTTTATATCGGATATCACTCAGCTAGTGGCTGATTTTAAAGAAAACAGCCCATAAATGCGCCGATTGTACATTGGCATACAGTTCGCCCGGAGCACTTATCCCAGGTTACTGGCAAATTAAAAGTCCTATTAGCATGCTTCGGCATATACCCTATTAACTATGCAAACTTGACATCTTCACTTAAATTCATAGCATTTTTAAACCCTTTAATCCTTGCCTGTGTATTGTGCCAGTACTCTTGTGCGAAGTCAATCAGAGTATCTTCATGTTTTAAGGTAGATGATTATGCATGTGCTCATAAATTCAGTATCAAAGCCTGAGTTAACTGAAAAAGTTGATGATCAGCAGCACATCCCGATCTTACTAGTTTGGTTTTGTTAACTTAAAGGTGCAGTAGGTGATCTGCCAAAATGCAAACCGCTTAGCATATTATCTTTGGACGGCGGGGAGGGATTGTGATTCAAAGCCACACACCCCGAAATCCCACCCCGTCACAACAGCGGACAGACAACCCACTAGTTCATGTCATTCGCCAATTACTTAGTGCCAGCGCCGTGCAGGAATTACATTTATTACATAGCCACACTTACACAAGTGGTGCTCGCTGCAGAGCCATTTGGGCGAGCTGAGCTCCAGCGAGGGGGAGCTTGAGCTCCACCTTTTTTGCACTTCTTCTACGAGTGATGTCACTGGGGGTAGGGTTAGGGGTGGGGTTGGTGTACGCATTAAAACAGCTTACAGGAGGAGGAGCGAGAGCTCATGCTCCCCCTCGCTGGAGCTCAGCTCTGCTCAAATGGCTCTGCAGCGAGCACCCTCTCCACTTACATGCTATTTCAGAGCGAATATTCATTTTAGCGGTAAACAGTATAGGAAGGCTGTCATTGTTCAAAAATGACCCAATGTGAATATAAAAGCAACTTCAGCTCAGTAAAGCAGGTTAGGCGGAATAGCGCTATTTACTGATGTTTTGTTGTTAAACTAAATATAAATCTACATTATCGATGCTGTAAAAGGACCTTATGAAACTGAAAATAATCACATCAATCTTTCACCGGGAGATTTCAGTGGCTGAACAACACTTTTGTGCATATAAGTCATTCATAACACAACACAATCGAACATAAGCTTAGCCTGACTAAAATAGTTTTAAAACAGAACATTACCTGTCTAACAGTAATACTCCAGCCATGGTGTTGTTCTTCCTCCAGCGTGCTTAAGTAACTCCAATATTGATTCAGGAGTTTAAAAGTTTTAATTCAGCATTTGATTTCTCCCGGTCTGTCTCATGACCGAGCGGCTGCTTAAGCAGACGGGCACGCGCGAATGACGGATCTGCGTGAACAGATGTGCAGAAGTACGAATCTACACTCACTGACAGACAGTCTGAGCTGCTTATCGGAATTATGAGAGATGTCGGTCTGACAATTTTTAATTGGATGAAATTTTTTTTGTTTTATGCTTTACCAAGAATATAAAAATACATATAAACACATTTAACTGTAATCATTACTATTGGACTGTGAAGAGACTTTCAACCAGCACAACAAAAAATGTTTCTGAAGACAATCACCTACTGCACCTTTAAACCTAACCCTGAGTTTGTTCAGCCACCATCATGGTACAGGCCCCTGATGTTCTTTAAAATGAATCTGTGACAGTACGTCTTAATAATAATGACAGTAGAAATAATAAATAACATTCTGCTTGCACTGAAGAAGCTGCAACTTTTAGCTAAATGTCTGCAGGGAGTGTATGAACATTCAAACAAAAAACAATTGATTTCAGTAACCTGGCGAAGATGTACCTGTAATCAGCATGATTTAGATGAGAGGTAGTTTGATGTTCAACCATACTTGTGAAAAATACAGCTACTGAGTCAGACAAAAACCCATCGCTTATTAAACAAAAAAACATTAGCAATTATCTATTCTATGGGCTCAAAAGCCTCAGCTAAAATTAAAGCTAAAGTAAACATTGTTGAAAGCCTCTAATCCATAGCTCTCAAACTCAGTTCCTGGAGAGCCGCAGCTCTGCACAGTTTGCTCCAACCAGAGATGGCAAAAGTACACACATCCTTTACTCAAGTAGAAGTACAGCTACTCATGTTTAAAACGACTCTGGTAAAAGTTGAAGTACTGACAACACTTTTGTACTAAAGTAAAAGTAAATAAGTACGGCCTGAAATGAGTACTTAAATATAAAGTATTCACCTGTTTTAGTTTTAAAGTGGTAACCACACTGCACATCATGTATACATCTATACAAAATTACGCGCATTTCTCATTTTTCGGTAAAGATTTTGTGGCCAATTGTTAGCTGCAAACTAGTCAACCAACATCAATCTACAATATTATATCATTACCTGGACACAAAACATAACTTTACACCTGTTACGCACAATAGCTGCCATACTACATATACAGTAGCCTAAAATAACCTAATGTAAAACTAAAGTGGCTTTCCCTGTACAGTATCCAGAACAATATAGACTTTATTTAAATCTCTTATGTTGTTACTATTAAAATCAAAGATTAAATGCATAACCATTGAAGAAGCACTTAATAAATGAGGTTATCCAGAAATATTCTATTAATTTATAAATGAGCCATTTTAAATGAATCTGAAAAAAACAATTTAGTGACAGATAAAGATTTGGCTCCACCAATTGGACATTTTGGTTTTAATTTAATGTAATCTCTAATAAAAAATAATAACGTTATACTTAAAATTTCAGCATTTGGAACAAACAAATCATTAAAATAATTATAAATTTAGTGTTAAACATGACAGCTAAGATGACATGTAAGATAGACATCATTTCAGTGTTAATAATGGGCTTTGGACAAATATCCCATTGAAATATTTTGTGCGTCTCATTTACCTGTGATCCGAATGATCAAAATGCATCTTATTACCTAGGCCCGGTTTTTCAAAAGTAATCCACTAGGATTTTGGATAATGGATTGGATCAAATCTTGAAAATGGTGTTTTTCAAAGGAAAAAACGGATTACATAATAGGATTAGATCACTTTGAATAAAAAAAACTGGATTAAACTGATCCCATTAGAAGGGTGGATTCAGTGTGTCTAAAATGTAATGAAAACTTTAAAAAAAATGATCAAATAATACTATATTTGGATCATGCAGTATCTTACAAGATGTCCTATTTATTCATAAGGTTTAATTGTATTTGTTCATCCGTCAGGCTACAGTAATTAGGTAGGCTTTAACGTGTTCAGTCTTTCAGTATAGGCCTACAACAAAGTAGGAAGAGTTTGACCTAATAAAATAATCCCCCAAACTGCTGTCAAAATTGACCAAAAACAATACATTTTATTCCGTCACTTATTGATATACAGTTGAAGTCAGAATTATTAGCCCCCCTTTGACTTTTTTTTTTTTTTTTTTAATATTTCCCAAATTATGTTTAACAGAGCAAGAAAAGTTTCACAGTATGTCTGATAATATTTTTTCTTCTGGTGAGTCTTATTTGTTTTATTTAAGCTAGAATAAAAGCAGCCTTTAATTAATTTATAACAATTTTAAGGTCAAAATTATTAGCCCCTACAAGCAATTTTTTCCCGATAGTCTACAGAACAAATCATCTTTTTACAATAACTTGCCTTATTACCCTAACCTGCCTAGATAACTTAATTAACTAGTTAAGCCTTTAATTGTCACTTTAAGCTGTATAGAAGAATGTCTTAAAAAAATATCTAGTCAAATATTATTTAATGTCATCATGGCAAAGATAAAATAAATCAGTTATTAGAGATGAGTTATTAAAAATTATGTTTAGAAACGTGTTGAAAAAATCTGCACTGGGGAAAAAAAATAAACAGGGGGGTGAATAATTCAGGGGGGCTAATAAAGTTATATTGACCCCACACTGACTATTCTACTTGTTGCTCTTTAAATTCTACATTGTGATTTCCTATCCTGATAAGATCTGGTTATCCAGATTTAGTGATCTTGAAAAGTTCCTGAACAGATCAGACTAATCCAATCCAATGTTGCTTTGAAAAACTGGCTCAAAAAGTAAGCTTGATTATATGATCACGATTCATAAAAAAATAATTACTAGTCCAGATTAATTTTATCCGGATTAAACCTTTTAAAAAACCGGGCCCTGGTATAAACATAAAATCAGTCATGTTTACATCACAGATTTCCTCTCTCTTATCAAAGTTCGCCATTCTTGCCGTCCGCCTGAAGAGAGGTCGAAAAAGCCACGCGCTGAGCACGCAGGCGCACAATGACAAAAAAAAAAAATGATTGAATCAAAAAGGTGTTCAGATTGTGCAATAATAATAAATATTATAGATTGCCCCACAAAACACAGTAAAACTAAAGTAATGAGCCTGTAAGAGTGAGAGTAAAAAGTTGTCAGAAAAAAAAAGCAGTGGAGTTACTGTAAGTACTGATACCAGAAGTACAGTAACTAAGTATTTGTATTTCGTTACTTCCCATCTCTGGCTCCAACCCTGATCAAACACAGCTGATTCAACTAACGAAGGTGTTCATGACTCTTTTGAACACCAATATTATTTGGGATCAGCTGTGTTTGATAGGGTTGTAGCTATTCTCTAATCTGTATCACTGCACTGACTAGAATCTATACATTCAGAGCATGTATTTAGAGTGTAACATGCTGTATTATTTAGTGGAATTGATTGTACTTTTGGATGTAGACACAAGGAAATGCTTCTTGGTCATATAATTTGCTCAGTAAGTATAGACATCAAAAAATACATTTTGGATTCTAAGACTTAAAACAAACATAAATAAGTGCATATGTAATTGAAGCGTTGTATCATTTTTAATACTAACACATGCTGGTGAGCATTTCAATCATTTTATTGTGGGGGGACATTTTCGAAAGTGTTTTTGTTTTGACTGTGATTAGACCTTGGACAGCAGGCCTGATTCTGGAGCGCTGACTTTAATGATGTTCTGGATCTCTTTAAACTTTGGATGCTCTTTATCAGCCACGAGCTGCAGCAGAACAGACTCACTGGTGGTGATGATGATTCCAGTGCGCGCCAGCCGCTAAAGCAGAAAGAAATGTTAGCATTCGCAGACTTCATTACCCAGTCAGACTATGTTATGTCTGCTTGAGTTTACAACATACAAGTAACATATGTATGAGTGTAGATTTGTCATGCTCTAAAACTGGAATTAAACTACTTAGGCTAAAACTGAAACCAACAATAAATTATTAATAATTGATTAATCCATTTAATAATAAGAAACAGTACTCAAATAGACAACTAGTTGAATAATGCATTTAAATTGTGCATATATTTTCATACACATCTTTGAAATGAAATAATTAGATTTACATGAAAAATTAGCTTGTTTTTATGACAGCTTTAATGCAAATTACCATAAATCATGAAGACAAATGGTTAAGTAAAGCGATAATAAATCTGTTCATCAAATGCTCATCTCCACAGCTACTGAGGTTTTTTCATAAATGTAGTTATGCTGCTTTGCTTCTTTCAACATTCTGATGTTCATTCAAATTTATTTTGTGCTATAATTGCTAGTAAACAACATTGCTTAATACACACCAGATGTACATCTTAGGGAGGCTTTTTTTCAGTTTATGAATGAAAATTTGCTTTTGTATAATGTTATTATTAGTAGTAGTAGTATTTATTATTTGCATTTTTATATTTGTTTTAATAAAAACAAGTTTTGATTTGTCCATCTGTCTGATTTTGGACAATATGGGGTATAGGATGTGTGTTTGGATAGAAATCAGTTTTTTAACCACACTACATTATTATTGTTCATTTATTCGTTTGGTGGAAATTAGAACTGAATTTAGAAATAGTTTTGAAACAAATCTTTGCGCTTAACAACTTAAATTATTCATGTCGGCTAATGGATGTCTTCAGTGGAGAGCGTATAACACTGTTTCCTCGAAAGTAAAAGATTAGAGTAAAAGTAATGAGAAAGTAAAGAGGCCGAATGGAGAGGGCTCGTTCTATATTCTCGTGTTGCAGATGGTCTGTTTAACTGTTTTCACGCTAGTAAAGGATTTGGTTTTAACTTTCAAAGTCAGCCATGTAAATAGCAAATGCACTATGGCGTGACGCAACTGACTCTTAAAGGGCCATGAAACCCCCTCGTTTCAGCAGGGTGTTTTCACACCTTTACTTTGGAAAAAGTCAGAAAAGTGGGCGTGTCCAGCTCTGTTTATGGGGGAGTGTCGGAGGAACTAAAGTGGGAGGGTGTGGGAGTGTCTATTCGAGCACGCGCGAGTTTCAGAGTCAAAATACACAGACACACTAAGGAGAAAGTGATGGTGTTTAACCTACATGTAAGTTCTGTAGTCGAATTATTTGCCAAATTATTAAATGGTGGACTTTAACTGCAGTTAGGCTCTTTCCTTCAGGGAATTCATTCATGCCCCTCGCGACAAACAAGATATTTGATTCGAGGAACTGCTCTAAGCGTGTATTTTTCATGCAATGTTTGATACCGCACGGCGAATGAGAGAAAAAAACCCTCCGCATTTCCCGGAAACTTAGATGCACACAGCAGGTAGTGTCAGAAAGTCGCGTGTGTTATTCCGGTCACAAAATGCGGTAAAAACCCTACACGAGGTTAAAGTTTGGTTGTGGTGCTAACATGTTTACACTCGGTGCAATAGTTAACTTAGTTCTATACGAACAAACTGAATAAACAAAGAGTGCTGGTTGGTCACTTACCAAATCTGTAGATTCAGGACAATCACCAGCAACTAGAGCCGCGTCTTTATTAAGAGAAGACTACAAGCGAATCCGGATCTCAGCGTTTGCAGATGAGAACAGCTCTCAGGTAAACAATGTTCCTCCTTAAACACGCAAGTTATTGTTGTCGAGCGTCGCTTAATCCACACGTGACTCCAGCTGAGCTCTCACAGAGAGAAAATGAAAACGAAACTTAACTGCAGCAAACAATAAAAGAAACACTTCACGCTTGTTTTGCCAATACAACGTGGTGTCTCTGTCGTCTAAACACTGTGACTAATGAATATTAATGAAGTTGCACAATAGAGCGCGCTGATTGGTTTGAACCAAGCCTTACTCATGCATTAATGCATCACACTGTAATAAGACGTAATAAGACACACTCTGGCACAGACGTCCAGTATGCACGCTGGAATACAATGCTATTATGTCATGGCCGTGACGCAGCTTCAAAAAATTTGTTTCAAACCGCAAAAACAACCAATTTACACTTTTTAGTGAAATATAGGTGTCCTAATAGTGTTTTTAGCAGTGTGGGACACATATACGACTGTCAACAGCTCAAAAAATGTGTTTTGGTGTTTCGTGACCCTTAAAAGGGAATGGGAGATGAGACTCTGATTGGTTTAATGCACATTATGCTCAAAACACATCTATAAATCATTAAGAGAACAAGCACAACCCTGTTAGACCAGGCACAACCCTGTTAGCCATGGCGCAGAGCATATTTTTCCATCCTTAAAATAGCAAAAGTGGATTCGGACACAACCTTAATGCGTTTGCCCAATGTACTTTAGACTTTGCGCCTAGATCGTAACATAGAGAAAAGTGTGTTCAGTGCAATTTTTCTGGAGTCAAAGGACAGTAATACATTTGCAGAAATACAACCCACACATTCGGTACATTGACATTTATTTTAATAATTTGATGTGGAAGTGAGTGTTTAGAGTGTTTTGGTATTTAAAACCTACGTTTATTTCTTTTTGATAACTGAAATATGATTATTTTGCATGTGTGTATTTGCAGTTGGTCAGGCTCTATTAAGTCAAATATTTATTCCATAACATAGTTTTTCTTTATAAAAAGTGAACATCCGTCTTACCTCTAGAGCAAACATTCTGTCCATCATGCTTCTGGAGGATGTGGCATCAGCAACAATGTGCACTTCAAAGCCTCTTCCAATGAGATCCAGAGCTGTTTGCTGAATGCACACGTGAGTCTACAAAAACACTCCTGTTAGTTTTATCTTCTGTCTTCAGCAAAGTTTAATAAACAAATCACTTCTTAGCAGAAAGGAATTCATAAATGTCATGAGACTATTCTCATTTCTTTAGGGCAACCAGAGCTGGGAACACCTCCCAAAAGACACTATAAATCAAAAGGCATCTACGCTTATGTTAGTCTGTTTTTCCTTATCCCGAGGTGGCCACGATCCTGAACCAGGATTAAGCAGATCCTGAGCAGATGCTGTGGTGGTTATGGAGGAGTGGAGAGCATGAGACAGATGAGTCGTTTTAGGTGAGCAGGTAAGATGAGAAAGCCAAACAATTGCATTACAGGGGTATATTCACAACATAATATGCAACCGATTAGAAAAAAATGTAATCAAAATTAAAGCTAGGCTAGCCTAGCCACCTCATAAGCTGACTATTCAACAGCTTAGTTCATGCACAGCATGAGAGGTGAATTTTTTAAATAATCGAAGAATAACTATTTAAACTGGGATTTCCCTTTTCTTAGCCTAAAAGATTAATTGTTAAGCAATAAAATATAGTGTTACTAACTGACGAAGAAACACGCATGGACAGTGCTTCTACATAATTAATTCATAGAAAGAACAGCCAGAAAGGGGATTATATTAATATTAATCCGACATCAAATATAATAACAACACTAACCTTCTATAACGTCATCACCAATGACTAAATCTCCAAAAGACGGACGAAAACATCAGTGAAAATCAGTGAACAATCAGTGAAAAAGTGCTCAGTTTGTGATCATAGCTTATATGTAATTACATAGTTTATATGTAATTTCAAATATTTGTAGCTTGAAAGGAATAGAAACATGACTGGATTGTGCTCACTCTTACAGTCCTTACAGGCTTAGTCACTTTATTAATCAGGGCAATGTACTGCAACTTTTTCCAGCATATGTTTTACACAGTGGATGTCCTCCCAGCTGCAACCCAGTACTGGGAAACACCCATGCACACTCTATTCCATGCATACACTATGGCCACTTTAGCTTATTCAATTAACCTATAGCGCATTTCTTTGGACTGGGGGTAAAACAGGAGCACTCATTGCAAACCCAAGCGAACACCGGGAGTTCATGAAAACTCCACACAGAAATGCCAACTGACCTAACCGGGGCTCGAACCAGCGACCTTCTTGCTGTGAGAAGATCGTGCAACCCACTGCGCCACTGTGACGCCCTAGTGTTATTCAGTGGTTGTTATCTCAGAATAACATACTGCACCTTGGAACGTCACGACTGACCAATCAGAATCAAGTATTCCAGAGAGCCATGTAATAATATGCTATTTTTCCCCCAAATCTGTATACAATGTGATGCATTTTAAGGGAAATGTGGGAATGTGGGGAGCCCAAACTGGTCATCTTTGTATTTACTTACCTCAAATTAATAAAAATTTAACCCAGGCAGTAAACAAATGCTTCATTCTGTTTCAAAGCATAGTAATGGAGAGTTTTTTGTTAATCTCTTGCTGGCACCCTTTAAAGGAATAGTCCACCCAAAAATGAACATTCTGCCATCATTTACTCATCCTCGATTTGTTCCTAACCTGTTAGAGCCTCTTTGGTTTAATAAACAAGAAAGAAGATATTTTGGACAATGTTGAAAACCTGTCACCATTGACTTCCATAGTATTTGTAATGAATGTTTAACAGAACAAAAAAAAACTCAAACTGGATTGAAACAAGGGTGAAGGGTGAGTAAATGATGGCAGAATTTTTCGGTGAACTATTTCTTTCATTTTTTTACTTGCATCTGTATGTTTTGCAAGTCATCTACATGCATCTCAAATGATTGATAAAGACATCCATTCATAAATGACCACTGATTTAGTAGCCGTTGACAATTAATGAACTATTGACTGTAATTCTAGAACTGACCTCAACTCCAAAGAGCACAACACTGCGGACTCCAGGAATTTCAGCCAGCGCAGCCTCCAGCTCTGGTATCACCATGGAAAACTTTGTTTTGGGGAAAACTAATTTTGCTCCAGTCAGATCCATTTCCTGCACTGTGCTGCCCAAACCTTTAGGGTACTGCTCAGACACCACCACAGGAATACCCAGAATACGAGCCCCCTGAAGCTGTGCCAACACAAACACAAAATGATAATTAAAATGAATCCAATTATTGCAGCAAATGTGAAACTAGTAATGGGCTGTTGTTGTCTGTCTTGGATTTGGTTTTCTTTTGTATTAGATTACTCTTCTTTAATTTGTATATATGTTGGAGTAATAATGAAAAAGAAATTCTACCCGTGATAACAATCAGACTTCCCTTCCTAATGATGAAGTCAATAACTGATCTTTCCAATAAATAAATGTAAGAATGTGAAGTTTTGCATGTATGAGCCTATTTACGAATAGTGATTTACTGATGTTCACTCTAAATTCACTTCATAACATCATTTGAGTGACAAAGGGTATACAGTGATAAAGGGGAGGTCACTTTGCATTACATTACAAATATACCTCATGGGTAGGACCAGACAGGATCTGCTGACATTTCTTGCTACTTCTGCTGAGATTTTTGCAAAAAAAATCTGCAGAATTATGCAAAATGATTTTGGGCGTATTGTAACCCCACCGGTCCTACACCACCCAACCCGCTCCGAGCTGGGATCGAACTGGCAATCTTCCACATGAGAGTCAGTTACTCTAACAAGGAGTCTACAGACCATGGCCTCTAGCATCTATCGCTAGAGCACCTATAGAGGTCAGAGGAGTGAGGTTTACCTGCACAGCACTCACTAGCTGGCCTCCGTTACAGTATCATAACTAAAAAATAAATATATTACATGAAAAATAATCAGTTTTTAGCTTTTATTTAATGTTTACAATGCAAAACCAGTTATATCCACTTATTTGGTAAGCAAAGCAAGTTATACATATAATACATCTCCTAAAAGAGAGAAGACATTACTTTACAAACTGTATTGTAAATAATTAAAATGAACATTTTTATATTAGTCAATAATATCAGCTAAAATAATTAAAAAACTGAATAAATATAGATTTACATGAGTAAATAAATAGATTCAATGATGGGCTAAAAATGTGTGGATTTCTGCATGTGTAGATTCCAACTTATGGGGTGTTTACAACCGACGTGCTTTGCGCGAGTAAATCATGCAATTTGCAAAGAATTAGACACAGTTTACTTGCTTCATTTGCTCGTGAAATTCACTTCACAACAGATGTGAATACACTTCAGTTTCATTGCAAACTGATTTGGATTTTACTGCTGACTGGATGAAGGCCACTACTACAGCAAGCTCCTGATTGGTTAACGTGGTGCAAATTTTAGGCAAAGTTCAGATTTTTGAACTCCAGCGATTCACTCAAATGACACATTATGCTCATCATACACTCAACTCACACAATATCATTCACTCAAATCACACCATTTACGCTGCATCATTTGCACAAACTGTGCCACAGGATGTCTATCAGTTTCACGATATTGTGATAACTGCTCTAAAATATATTCTTTTCAAATATCTGGGTAAAAAAAACAACAACGTTTTTCCACTTTGAACACAATGTATTTTAATTTGGGAAACATTTATAATATTTGTAACAGTAATTATGTCAGGTTAAATAATTCAGTCCCTCTTTATATTGTCGCTTTTACCTGTGAACTTACATGATAACTAGATGTGTAAGTAGTATGTAACTACAGTGTATGTAAACACTGGTACATAGTATTTACTTGTGTATTACTGTATTAACTACAACACTTACACTGAATAGTATGTGTATGTTCAAATGCACTGAATAACAACACACTGAATAAGTTCAAATGTGTACCAGGACATTAAAAACACAATCTTTGATAAACTACCCTTTTTAATGTGAATTACTGATGTGATTCTAGAATTCACCTTAAAACAACATATAAGCATAAGGCATTTGTATATTTCTATATACACTTATACTTTTTTTGCAGAAGTTTGCTGTTGTTAAATAGTTGCACAAAGACTTAGGTTTTATTGACCTTATTCTAAAATGCGGAAGTGCGCCTGTTTTCGCGATTGTCTTAGAACTTCCGTTAAAGTTGCCTATGGGAGAAATGACAAGGAATAATAAACGGCAAAAAACGGTCAAACTACTTGCTCTACAAACAAATGTTTGCATGACTATACAGACCAAGTAGATTAATATAACATGGAAATATCAGTTTGCAACATCAAACAGCGAAACGAGCAGTTTTTAATGTCTAAAAATTAATGGAAGTGAATGAGACCGGATGTCTCGTGCCAAAAAGATTCAAATGGCAGCGCCCGCTCGTCTGCGGAGAATAAGGTCAATACATTACACAGTAATTTGTGACCATTTTACAATTTATATTGAGTGGACAGTTCTTGAGAATTTACCCTGAAATTACACTGGTATCACAACGTGAAACATTCTAATGCAGCGTTAGTTCTGCCATTTTTATTCTAATACTGTGTTCAGTAGTACATGGTATGCAAACAGTTGTGGGAGTGGGAAAACACCTGGAAGTACACATTGTTGTTACACAATGCACTTCTGTAATTCATGTTATGAATGTATACTTTTTCTTAGTGTTGTTACTAATATTCTGTTACACATTTGAACGTACACATACTATTCAGTGTAAGTGTTGTAGCTACAACAGTATTACACAAAAAATACTATGTAACAGTGTGTACATACACTGTAGTTACATACTACATACACATCTAATTACCATGCAAGTTCACAGATATAAGCGACACTTAATATAAAGTGGGACCAATAATTGAAATAAATCATTGACTTCTGCTGTCTTCATTAGTTTTGAAAACACAGATTTCTTTACATTTTAAAACGGCATCTTTAGATATCTTTTCTACTGGAGAAAAAACAAAGAAAAAAATCATAAAATAAAAAATCTTACACATACCTTAGGAACGCTATAGCAGAAAATCTTAAAACCCTGACTTTTCCAAACTGCGCTATACCTAGAAAACGGTTGTCGTCCCATGCCTAATGGAAATCCCTTGTGCTTAATGCTTTTGTCTGGAGTGAATGCACTATTATTTATTAGTCATAAAAATAGACAAAACGGCTTGAAGGACACAAACCATAATTTGGCAAAGTCATTCGTTCATAATCTTCATGTTTTCTCAGTTTATCAATTTCTATGTTCTTTTTCTTCAGCTACAGGGATAGTTGATGTTTTTACTTTTGTAATGCAGATATGGAATGTTTGCATAAGGGCGCCCTCTAGCATCCCCTATGAATGAAACATGTCACAACACTCAATTATTTTTGAGATTTTGCAGATTATTTTATTTTTGCAGATTTTGTTTTTTAAAGATACAAGACTTTTTCAGGATATATGCAGGAATCCTAAAGGTAATTTGAATACCTTTTTAGGACTTTTTAAAGACGTTCTCATAATATTTTAACACCTCATCGCCACTTCAAGTTCTAACCAGTATCAAACCTTTAACTTACTAAAAAGTTGTTTTATAAACAGTTAGTAATAATAATAATAATCATAATGATAATAATAGTAAGTCATTACATTTATATAGTGCTTTTCTAGACACTCAAAGCGCTTTACACATTAGGAGGGAATCAACTCATCCACCACCAGTTGTAAGCTAATTAAATAAATCAATGTAGCACAACCATGCAACGGAACTCAGATAAGCTCGGAGGAATCAAAGCTTGAATGAATAAATTATGCAGTTGTTTTCAGCGACAGGCTTAAGCCGCTGTTCAAACTCGTCTTTTTTCAACAAGGAGTACGCAAACGTATATTTTCGCATTTTGCCGTCTGTTTCACTCTATGGTTTCAATATATGTGGAGAGCGTCAGATCACCTTCCTTTGTTTGTCGCAAATTACATGACATCACCCGGACGGAGGAGCTTGGATGGACATGCTCCGGCCCGAACCAATTACGTGGATCGAGCATGCCGTTGTTAATATAAGGAGGAAAATAAATATATTTATACTTTTTTAAAGTCAAACACTTGCAATGCTTGAACAAAACGTAAGCAATTAAGACCTATTAAAAACTTTTAAGGGCCTTCATTTTCTCATAATTGCTTTATCAACTTCTAATACTTTTTAAGACCCTGCGGACACTCTGTTTCTGTGGGTCGTCATCAGGGGCGGCGCTAGACCCCATTTACTAGGGCATGTGCCACAGTAAAAATCGCCAGTGCCCCAGTAAATGCTTTGAGATGTGATTTACTTTATATGCAAAGTGTATTTATTAAGAGTGGTAATTTCAAAATTAAGACATTATTCTCTATGTGCAAATGAACCAACGCTGATAAAAGCTATGCAGTTTAATCAAAAAACAAACTGAGCATGTGCACAGAAAACACCATAACCGCATGCCTCACGCACCACTCCTGCTTGTCACTGACGTGCTGTTCTGCTCTCGGTGTAATTGCTGGATGCGAACATGCACGCTGGAAAACTAACCGCGCTGCTCATGCGCCGCTTATGCATTGTGAAACTGGTGTAACAGTCTTGTATGTGGAGGTGTCGGTACGCAGTGACTTTTGCAAGTTGACAAAACAAAATTTAAATAATATGATGGTGATCTTATTTAGATTAAGTATGGCTCCCTGTATGAAGCAAAAAGGAAGGATGATGAGTGAGGGAGGTAAGACTTAATAAACCTAATTCTCAGGCATGAGCCAGGTCTACGACAACATTTATTTGTTTTCTTTTCGGCTTAGTCCCTTTATTTCCAAGACGACACACAACAGGACGAACATAATTCTATAAAACATCTTTTTTGTCTTCCATAAAGTTGTTTATAAAATTTTATTTTAATGACGTTAATATTCATGCAAAAGATATCTTAAATTATCTTAGCATCACTCCAGTTGTGTCTTAGTTTTTCAGTTACATTTAGGATTAATTTTTGTTATTTATATATATATAGCAGCTGTGCCCCAGTAGAGCTTTATGTCTAGCAACACTCCTGGTCGTCATTAATCAAATACACACAAAACATACTGTGATGTCATTTGTCTAAATTTGTCTTGGATTACACTGAATATAAATCTTTTTTTGCTTAAAATCAAGATCATGATACTCTCACAATTCTGTAGATGTAAAATAAAGCTTAATATGAGATTATTGTTTTTTCTTAAACATATGGTAAAACAACAATATTAATATTATGTGTAGGTCTACTGGTTTTACATAATTATATTCTACTTATAATAATTCTGATGTTGAATTATGTTTGAGATATATGCTTGCAATCTGTCATTGAGAACATTATTAGACAATTTTATTCACTAGTAAAATCAACAGCAACTGAATATTATTTACAACTTTATTACCTGTTACTCACAGCCTATGCAGGTTCTGTACACTAAAGTAGACGCGTGCAAGTCTATCATTAAGTAAGGCGCGCCGGCACAGTCAGCAGCTCACGTCTTGTGTGATTTCCCGGCCGCGAATACATCATTATATAAAGACAAGAATGACATTTTTGGGTGAATTATACCTTATAAATACAGTATGTGACTCTTTTAACATCATTTGGAGGTGTCCATGTCGCTGAGCAACGTGTGTGAAACAATGAAAAGACTCATGCAGCCGCCTTTGCTTCTCTCCTGAACTTGAAAATATAATTGGCAGAATTGTAGAAATGCTGGATTAAGATCGTCTAGGGCAGAGATTCCCAAACTTTTTTATTCCGAGACCTACCTAGGCAAGTAATTCAATCTCAAGACCCACCACGATATTTTAATTTGGAAAAATGGGTAAAAAAAATGTATCCATTCAAAGTAGTCAAAAATATATGGTGTGTGGCTTTTTGGATTTTGCGATTTGATATGCACAAAATGAGGCTCAAAGTGCTTTTTGTGGGATTCTGGCTGTAACTGTGATCTTTTTTTGTTGAAAAAGATACTCTCCTTTTTTTAGAAGAGAATATGATCAACCTTTAATCAAGCCCCTGGATTACGATCAAGCCCCGTCACTTTGCAGTAAATTCCACTGCTAGTGTAAAGTCATAAGAAACTAAATAGCTTTTTGATCGACTACTACAAGCTGGGAAAACATCAGATAAATATGCCAGTGCAATTAACAGTATAGCTGAATAGATCTAATATTTATACATTTGCTTGAGGAAGGACTGACGGGGGTAGTTACGTTACTATTACTATTTTCCATAACATCTATGCCCTTTCATAACATTAAGTGACGTTAAAACTAACAGATAGCACTATAGCTATTTATTGATTAGCAATCTGTCAATGCTGGGATGTAAAAAATATGGGACAACAAATAGCTTCAAATGATAGAATACATAGCAAACATTAGAAAATATTGACAATAAAATAAAAGGTTAAGCCTATTAAAATCAATGGCCTATACAGAAAAATAAATAAAGCTATAAAATCTATTGATGAAATCTGATTAAAGTTACTATAGTTATTTAGTGAAGAGCAGCAAATGAATCTCTCATTGTGTTTTGTTTGATAACAGAGGTGTTACTGTAAGAATGCACAGATCTATAATGAAGCATTCGACTACTTTAGTAACTGTTTGTGCTCAGTTAAGATAAAATTAGTAGTGTTTAAAAATAAAACGAAAAAAGGAAGCACTTTTCCGACGGTCCCTTACTGAGAGCTCCACTCAGCGTGAGCTCTACCGGCTAAAAGCAGATTGCGAGGGCTCAAACAGAGCTGTGCTCGTAATGTCGAGCAAAAAGAAAAAGAAAAAGACAGCTGTGAAACATAACCAGCTTTGTCTTTTTGTAGGAAACACACTTTAGATATTTTTAGGTTAAGAGGTTTTTGAGTTATTGCCGTCAATCGTACTGGTTTTGATTCACCGCAATGTAAATACAGCTGCAGCTATGTGACGTTGCGCGACCCACCTTTGTTCACTTTGCGACCCACAGTTTGAAAACCCTTGGTCTCGGGGGCCGAATCGAGATTGCGATCTTTTTTAGATTAATTGTGCAGCTCTACTACTGGTCTACATGAACTGCAGTCTTCTAGAAATAAAGCTATGGTTCAGCACACCAAGACTAATTTCCAACCTGACTTAAAGAATCATGCTTTCATTTGAAGAATCAGAAAATTTACCAGCCTCTGGCCAACACTGATGATGTCACCAAAGTATTTGATTGCAGGTCTGAATCTCTCTTGCATATCACAGCAAAAGAAAACCGATGTGGCCGGTGAGAGGTTTCCCAGTGTCGTGATCTGTGGTAAAGAACCAGGCATATTTCACACAACAAATAAATAAAATACGGAAGTAAAATCTGGTGTCTGTCAGCACTGACATGCTTTAAGGTTAAAACACAAGCCACACTAACAGCAATAAAATCACTAGTGTAATCACATTTTTTTCAGTAATACATCTAAATTCTGATCTTTCCAGATGACAGGATCAAGGTCAGTTCATCACAAGGTCATTCGGAATTATCCAACCACAATTCTAGACCCTACTTTCATCTATATACACACACACACACATTATTCAGTGTCACAATAGCTCAAACACCTAAAAATCTCTTCAGGCATTGAATAAAAAATAAAAAAAAAATTTAAATGCTAAGATGCATCACCAAAACGCTAATTAATTTCAAGGCTATTTCAAGAATTTAAAATATATAATACAATTTAGTTTGATCACTTATTCTACTGTATTTACCAAGGATAGGTCATTTTTTTAAGACTGATGTCCTATAATGATTAACGAAAGAACATTGTATTGTATATGTAATCATAAAAGTTATTCATTTTTATAGTAGTGACTTTAATTTAATAAGTTTTATATGTTTATATAAAATCACTTCTTGCGGAAAACACGTTTTAAATCAGTGTTTCTCAACTGGTGGGTCATGACCCGGTAACATTTTCAGTGGCTCGCGGCGTGTGGGGTCAAAAAAACAACAAAAGTTTCATTTTTAACTTATTTTGACTTTTATTTTGAAATGCATGCGCGATAACCCTACTGTTTGACATGTGAAATTTCATTTAATTATAGCAACAAATATGTCGAAGCGCAAGTACGACCCTGAATATGTAAAGTTTGGATTTACATGTATTGACGACAAAAAAGACTTAAAGCCTAAGTGTGTCATAAGTAGCAAGGTGCTCTCACAAGAGAGTATGAAACCTTTTAAATTAAGACGACATTTAAAAACCAGACAGCATGTTTTTATTAACAGTTCAGTTTAGTTCATGGTAACAGAACCTTTCCTTACCCTGACTGTTTACAGTATTTGTCATTTTTACTTTGTAATATTTCTATAATTTGATACATTTTGTTAAATGACAGCAACAAATTATTGTTTATTTGTAAGTCTTTGTGATTTTCTTATGATTTATCTGTAACTACTTGTGTATGTTAACAAATGAATACAAATAATTATAATTCCTAAAATTGTATTATAGTTCCTAAAAATTTGGGTCGCGGCTTGATGACCATGTTAAAATGTGGGTCCCATGGCCAAACAAGTTGAGAACCCCTGTTTTAAATAGTGTGTCGAAATGTGTTCAAGAATTTGAATATTTTAAAAATGTTAATAAATGTATAATGAGCAAATCGTCGCGCTGTACCCAAGTAAATGTCTGCTTTTAAGACATTCTTTTAGCCTTATAATTTGATGTTCCCATCACCTCACTGTACTGGATTTTACCAGGTTAAAAAAACGACATGCTATCAACATGAAATCAGATAAGAGGAACCAAAAAGCAATATGGTGTTTACGACATCACAGAGAAGGTAGCATTTAAAGGTTTAAAAGCACTAACAGTTACTTGTTTCTAAGACTATTTAAAAGCAATAATTGACAAATAGTCACAGGCAAATTTAACTTTTATGACAAGGCAGCACAGACTGGGCCAGTAACAATCCTGTCTACTGTCCCGAGCGTCTTGTACGCTGGCCCCATCCGGCAGTCCTTATTAATGAGCCCTGTAATTTATTATATTATACTTTATAAAAAAGCATGTTTATATACTTTATATGAAAGCACGAAAAAACAAAAATAAAATAATAATAATACATGAATGCAGTTTTAAACAAAAAATATGTAAGTCTATCTGAGAAAAGTCCAATTCGATAACATTCATGTATACAACCTTGCTAAAAAATCCAGCTTAAACCAGCCTAGGATGGTTAGCTGGTCGACCAGCCTGGTTTTAGAGGGGTTTTGGCTACTTCCAGGCTGGTTTCCAGTCATTTCCAGCCTGATCTTAGCTGGTCAGACTGGAAAGTGACCAGCTAAAACCATCTAAAACCAGCTTGACCATCCTGGTTTAAGCTGGACATAGCTGGTTTTGGCTGGGCTCCCAGCCTGGCTAGGCTGGTCAAGCTGGTTTTAGCTGGTCATCTCCCAGCCTGACCAGCTAAAGCCAACCTGGAAATAGCTGGAAACCAACCTGGAAGTGGCCAAAACCCCTCTAAAACCAGGCTGGTCGACCAGCTAAAACCAGCCAACCATCCTAGGCTGGTTTAAATTGGATTTTTCAGTAGAGAAATGGAATATAATATGAAATTAAACGAAATTACAGTTCAGTTAATTAGCAACAGATGCAGACCGTTACTTTAATTGTAATAACCAACTAACGTTAACGTTAGTAGCATTTTACACGTACGCTAAGACCGCGGTCCCTGCATAAATATGATAAACAAAACAAACACAGCATGCAGTTTAACAGTGTCTTCATAGAACCTCAAGCTCATTCAACAAAAGTTTGAGCCTCATTTCCGCAGATAAGCGCAACAGTTTTACATTCTACATGACTGTCATAAAACAGCAGAATGCTAAATTAACGAAAGTATGTGAAATATGAGCTTACATCCATTTGCAGAGGCACTAATCTCAGCCGACATTTTTCTGAAACCGTGAATCCTTTCGGCAAATCAATGTACTGACCCCATTCCTCCGAGAAATACTGAAGTACCAGTTTACGATGAACGTCGATTTGAGATCCGTAAATGGAAAGAAACTTCTGGATAAGCACTTCATATCCAGAGCCCACAGGCACAGACGAGGCCCGAGAGAATACAGAAAAGGAGAACAAAACCGGGACATGATTATTGTTGCTGTGTGTGTCCGCCATGATGCTTCCGAGCTCTCGTATGAATAATGTCCGACTCACAAGTGAATCGTTCTTAAGAATCGGTTCTTTAATGTTTCTACCTGAACTAAACCGAGCTCACACATTTATTCTGATTACCTGTTTATTTTTAAGTGTTCATTTAGCATAACGCTAAACATGCTAAAGGCACTAAATTACTCATACTAAAGATACAAACTAAAAATCCACAGATCATCATATATCTACGCCATCTGCATTTTATCCGTTTATAAGTGCATTTCCTGTAAACTGAACCCATGACGTTGGCACGAAATTAGGTTAATGCAAACCTGTAATGTGGCTGCATGTTAGAAGTTTAAATAAACTGTATTTAACGTACATAAAACGCGATGGTTATATCCAACTGAATCGTTTTAATGGCCCAATGAATTTAACAGTTCAAACAAACCGATTCGCCGAAATGATTCGAACTTCCACGGTTATGGATTGAAAGATTGAAACAGATGATCTCTTCAAAGTCACCCTTATACATTAATCTGCTTCCTGCTTGATCTTAACATTAAAAATTGATAAATAAATAAAAAACATGTGGTACACAAAGAACAGCTGACGAAGATAGATTGTCCGGAGGAGAAAATAAGTATTTTCATTTTGTTAACTAAATATGTTTTAACTATAAAGTGACTGTTTTTTTTTTCAGAAACATAACTATAAAAATAAATTATTCTTAATTATTAACTATTTTTGTTAATTATAGTAACTATTTATCATTATAAATTAATAAATCTTGATAGTAGTTATTACAACTCAAACTTCAGTCATACAGTTTTATTAACATGCATCCTGCTTTATTACACATAAGTCAGGCTTGGACACTTTTTTTAACAACTTTTTGAAGTGAAACCATTAAATTGACTGAAACGCTTTGTGATTATCAATGGTCTCAATGGTATCTGAATGAATGGTTAAATGGGAATGGAATAGAATACAACATGATAAAAAAAAAAAAAACTAGGCAAAGCAGTGGCGCAGTAGGTCCAAAGTCCAAAGACATGCTGTACAGGTGAATTGGGTAGGCTAAATTGTCCGTATTGTATGAGTGTTTGTGGATGTTTCCCTGAAATGGGTTGCGATTGCAAGGGCATCCGCTGCGTAAAAACTTGCTGGATAAGTTGGCGGTTCATTCCGCTGTGGTGACCCCAGATTAATAAAGGGACTAAGCCGACAAAAAAATGAATGAATGATAAAATCTATAATTAATTGACAATTTTATTATGTAGTGAAGTGCCAGCAAACATAGTCAATGTTACAGATTCAGACAACAAATTCAACATTCTTTAACCATCAGCATCATGACATAATTATACAACAGCTCACAGATGTAATGGTGAAAGATGACTATATACGTTGCAGTTAAATAATGTTTATAACGATAAACAAAAGGAGTTTGCTCCCAATCTCAAAGTTTGTAGTAGAGGTAGCACATGCCTCCTGCTGAAGGAGCTCCTATGTGAGCAAAAGCTTAAAGTGTTTCATTTCACATCAGCAAATATATTACCAAAACTTAAATGCACGTAAACAAAATTGTCATTTATTATAACAGAATTAGGCTAAAAAAAAGAACGGACACCATTGCATATATTTTCACTTCAGTACCTGAAGTAAAGGTATTACATTGATATAAATACAATTCACAGTGAATCTCAATTGTTTCATGTGCCCATTTCAGCATCTAAAATTAAAACAATAACCAATCAAATGCAAAATGCTTCAGTCTGTGTATTTGAAATAGTCAAAGTGCATGTTTATATATCTTACACTTAATTATTACATGTCAACATGTACAAAAGACGGACGGTTTTGTGTTGTATTCAAAAAATCAGTTCAAATACATACAACCACACCAGTCTGATCTCAGAACAGTTGGCTTCATAAATCTGCAGGAAGACGTTAAATGATTATGAGTGTAGAATTTAGATTGGACTGGAATTCCTTTTTACATTGTTTCCTGTCGATTTATCTGTAACATGTTATGTTTCACATGGATTGAGTTGTATTGTAGGATGTTATAAGCATCAATGCACACTAAAGCAATACACTACCTGACAAAAGTCTTGTCGTCGATCCCATTTGTAAGAGCAATGAATAATAACTTGACTTCTAGTTTATCATTTGGAAAAGTGCTAGATGGTTAGATTTATTGTGAAGTATCTGTTGAACTGCATCACAATCATCACAAATACTGCAGAAGATCTATTGGAAGCCACATGGACCCAAGATTCTCACAGAAATCAGTCAAGTTTAGTGAAGGAAAAATCATGATTTATGGTTACATTCAGTATGGGGGAATGCGAGAGATCTGCAGAGTTGACAGCAACATCAACAGCCTGAGGTATCAAGACATTTGTGCTGATCATTACATTACAGACCTCAAGAGAGGGCAAGCAGGATAGCACTCCTTCTCATACTTCAGCCTCCACATCAAAGTTCCTGAAAGCAAAGAAGGTCAAGGTGCTCCAGGATTGGCCAGCCCAGTCACCAGACATAAACTTTATTGAGCATGATGAAGATGAATCCAAAGATTAGTCATTGCAGAGATGCGTGGATGGTCACGCAAGCTTATGGGAGTCATACACAATATTCATTCTTTTTCCACTGCACCATGACTTTATATTCTATACCACATGTGTCAACTACTAGGCCTAAATGCGGCCCGTCAAAACATTTAATCAGGCCCGACAACAAGTTTTGGTAATGAAGTTCAAGTGGCCCATGCTTACTTTCAATATTAGGTCTGTGACAATTACAATATTGAGACGCAGGTGGTGCTGTTGCGCTGTACCATACTTACTAATTATGACGTTAGCATAACGTTACACTAAATGTACACTAGATATTAAAGTTTGGAGACAAACTTTATGGTGGCTTGAGAAGCCGAGTCTGAAAGTTTGAAGTCGTTTTAAAGTGTAAATAGCATGCTACTAGTATGATTCTAGCTTGAATTAGCATGTTGCTAGCATGAATTAGCATGATTCTAGCATGAATTAGCATGTTGTTAGCATGATTCTAACATGAATTAGCATGTTACTACAATGATTCTAACATGAATTAGCATGTTTTAGCATGATTCTAGCATTAATTAGCATATCACTAGCATGATTCTAGCATGAATTAGCATGTTGTAAGCATGATTTTAACATAAATTAGCATGTTACTAGGATGATTCTACCAGGAATTAGCATGTTGTTAGCATGATTCTAGCAGGAATGAGCATGTTACTAGCATGATTCTAGCATTAATTAGCATATCACTAGCATGATTATAGCATGAATTGGCATGTTGTTAGCATGATTCTAGCATAAATTAGCATGTTACTAGAATGATTCTAACATGAATTAGCATGTTGTTAGCATAAATCTAGCATGAATTAGCATGTTGTTAGCATGATTCTTGCATGAATTAGCTTGTTACTAGAATGATTCTAACATGAATTAACATGTTGTTAGCATGATTCTAGCATGAATTAGCATATTACTAGCATGATTCTAGCATGAATTACCATGTTGTTAGCATGATTCTAGTATGAATTAGGATGTTACTAGCATGATTTAAGCATGAATTAGCACGTTGTTAGCATGATTCTAGCATGTATTAGCATGTAACTAGCATGATTCTAGCATGAAGTAGCATGTTGTTAGCATGAATTAGCATAATTACAAGGCCCAAATGCGGCCTGTCAAAACATTTAATCAGGCCCGACAACAAGTTTTGGTAATGAAGTTCAAGTGGCCCATGCTCACTTTCAACATTAGGTCTGTGACAATTAGCATAACGTTACACAATGTAAACAAGGTAAAACATTTCTGGGACTAGCACAATGTAAAAAAACCCGCCTCACAGACCACCATTTTAGGTCTGAAATCCACAAGTTCAGAGTTGAAGGCATAGACAGTTGGCATGGATCATTTCATGATTGGGGTGCCTTTTTAAAGCTAAAAGAATAAGTTCAATAATCAACCCTCTGTTGCTTGTTACAATGTGGTGTATCGGTTGTTGACATTGTTTTATCATCAGTTTTTCTGAATATGAAATTGTTTTAAAAGTAGACTACTGTTCTATGCTAGCCTTCTGTGCTGTTTTATGCTTATAATGGTTATTTCATGTTGGGATAGAGATAAAACCTGCTGTGACACAAATTAAATGTAAAACCTTACTATTTTGATAAATGTGGTTTATGAAGTGTTATAGAGATGTTATACAGTTAATACACTTTTATTTTCTCCAATAAATATTATAAATATAAAATGTGTATGTACGGCCCCTGACTTTACTCACAACACTCCGTGCGGCCCTTACCAAGTTTGCACTTGACACCCCTGTTCTATACTGTACATTCCTTCTGTTAAGTAAGACTTTTGTCTAAGCAAAGTCAGACCTTAGGGTGCTTTCACATCAGTAGTTCACTTCATTTGGTCTGGACAAAGGGCAATAAATGATCCATTGTTACATTTTTTGCCAACTTTGGGTCATTTTCACACCACACCGCTTTGATCCGAACTAGTTGAAACGAACAAAATGCAGTCATCTGAAAAATTCACATCTCTCATTGGTCATATGTTGTTGAATATATTTCCTAAACTGCTTATTGATTGGTTAGAATTCAGGTGCGGGAAAATGCCAATGAACTCCCGCAAGTAAACAAAACCTGCAGACACAAAATGTCGTTTTTACTCTGGAGGGACGACTGCGCTGACGGATTGTATGCCTGCTTTAGACAAACTATACATTTCGAGAATGAAGCGTGGCTGCAGCTGGAAAACAGTGTTTTAATGCATCGTTCGTCACTTCAGAAGGAGGCGGGAATTAATTTAGCTAAACTGCGACATGGTCATCTTGCGGAAATATTACCAACGATCCATCAGGTAATGTTTAACCCTCTCTCTATTGGTAAAGCGCTGTCAACAAATATTTTTCCTCCATATCCCATAATGCACAGCGCATCTGCCTATGGCAGCTGAATTAGTTCAAAAGGCACAG